CTCCGGAATAAGGACTTCATGGTAGAGTTTTCAGCCACTAGTGTTCTCTCTGGGTAGCCTACTCAATCTTCTTCCCACCACCTGATAAAAGGTATGTTGAGTTAATAAGTAATCCTGAAACTGTCCTGTATCCATTGTTGCCTTGCAAACAGTCAAGGCTCTACCTGTCATTTTGCTGATTAACTGCTCAAGGTAGGCATCAGTTACATAATATATATGCATCTACTGTATGTATTTATGTATAGACTCACCAATGTTGAAGAAAAAAGTATTTTCCAAAAAGTAAACAATAATCTAATAAATTTTGATTTAATTATTAGTCCCGATAGAACAAATAAAGCCCTTAAATCCATCAGAGTAACCAGGTATTTTAAGTGGGAACATTTAAGTTTTGGGGTTTTTATTTACAATATTTTTTTTAATAAAAAATTTGGTAAATAATAAATCCAAAGAATATTTATTATTCATTCAACAGATTTAGAAAATACAGGAAATGTGGCTCCATAACTGCTGAATGTTTTGTAGAATGGGTTATTGTATTGTATTTTATTATTATATTTATCAGATTTTATCATTAGAAAAAAGAAAGTTAGAAGTGTACATTTACAGTCATTTTTACTATTTTTCAAAGCTGCACTTTTAAAAAGATGAAATTGCCCATTGAGCTGTTTCCAAATGAAATTTCTTTCTGTTTTACACTTGTTTAAACAAAATGACAAATAAATTTGTCTAAAGTCTCTAAAGTCTAAAAAATTAAATATCAAAGAAAAGTATCATGTCGTTTCTGCTAATAAACTTGACTAGTTGATCAGCAATAAGTTCAAAAACTTCAATTGCAGGAGCTTAGCCTAACTTATAAAATAAACAAGTAAACAATAAATATTTTGTTTTTCCACAAAGCATAAATATGAATGAGATTTAGCCACGATAGGAAACTACGTATAACCTGAGCTACATCTCAGAGTCTGAGTTAGCCTCAGATAGCAAGGTGTGTGAATGTGCATCGTATCTCTAATGATTAAACTGGACCAGTGAAAAATCTGCCATTTTTACCACAGTTGTATGATTTGATTTAGAATATCAAAAACACTACATTTACATTTGCAAAATAAAATTATTTGCTTTGTTCATTAAGAGGGTAAACAAATGTAATCCCTGCTCCGTTTTGTTTCTGAAAAGAATGAAGTTAATTACTACAAAAAATACACCTATTACTCAAAAAGTCTACTTTTGCTTAAATTCTGGATCCTTCTTTTCACATTTTCATTTCTATGTATAACAAATGTTTTTAAGATCAATCTCTCCTTGTACTGTGCTTACTTTCATCCCAGGCCATGCCCTAAAAATTCCCAAAAAAGTGGACTTGTTGGAGGCATCGCCATCGGATGCATGAAAAAGCAGAACTAATTTATTTTGACGATTTTTTATGTTGGAAGACCACATTAAATAATGAATAGGTAGGTGACAGTAAACTCATGATGATTCCTTAGGATGGAGTTGTGGCACGCACCACCTTTGTGGGTGCTTGTTGATGTGATGTAAAAAGGATGCTGATGTGGGAAGTAAGGCAGGAGGCAAGAAAAGATGGGGACGTGTCGATTCCCAGTCATAATCTGATAATTTTATCAAAATAGTTTTATTGTACAGAGATACAAGATAATGGGCCAGACTCATTTAAAAGCAGCTACAACTTTCACAAATGTTGATTAAAAACACCTCAAAATAAAACCTTCAATAAAACCTTTTAATTTGCAAGAGGTGAAACACCCTAGTTTCCATGACAATTAACCCACACTGTTAAAGTATCTCTCTCCTCCTGTGGAGTTGCAGACAAAGTCAGAACTCTTGATTTCTTCCAACAGCAAATGTTTCCCAGTTAAGACAAAATAGTTCAGCTCACAACAATTAGCATATCACCAAAATAGGGGTAGTCCTGCATGCTGTTACTACTGAAATGCTTGCATAGAGCCAATTTCGTACTAGTGCAAGGAAACCGTTTTAAAGTTTGCCAAACCTCAGGAACTCCACCCATTATGTGTTAATTGAACACTTCCCAGGGAGTTTATTATTTATCTCTGCAGCTCATAAAACTCTTCCTTAGATGAGTTCATCATAAAAACCAAAGCCTTTATGAAATCATTGTTAACCATGATCATGCAAAGGCTGCAGTTGTTGCATGGAGTCCTGTTGTGAAGGTTCTGTTTCACCGCTGAGTGTTTGTCCGTCCTGGAAACTCCACAAGAACAAAGGGAAGATCAGAAAACAGGAAATGAATGTTTAATGTTCTAAAACTCCTCTACATAACAATTCACAACCCTTGAGCTTATTCACCTTTGGTCACAATACAACGATAAATTCTAATATATTTTAATGGGATGTTATAATCTAAATGCAGTAGAGAATGAGCATCAAATAGCAAACTAGTTAATGTTTTCTAAGTTTTTTTTTTTATAAAAAAAACAGCAATTGTGTCATTGATTGACTAATTTCAGATCACTTTAATAACCACCATTATTGTGAGTTGTGGCCAGTTGCTTTTAAGAACTTCCTAATTAGTAAATAGGGCCCATTTAGTGTTTTAGAAACTAAAACCAAAAAAAAATCCCGACAACAAGGAAAAACAAAGAACAATACAGAAGTGTCAGGCATTGTGAAAAAGTTTAAAGTACAGCTAGGATATAAGGCAACGTCCCAAACATTTTAAAAAGCTTTATTTATCCTTCATCTAAAAAATACCTAGCCTATAAGACCTGAGTATACCTAAACTATCAAGCTGGAAATAGAGAGAATTCATCAGAGAAGAAGCCATTTGTCTTCAAATGCCCAGCTTAGGTTGGAAATGATGAGACGTTCATCAGTCCTGAACTGAATGAATTTTTCCTTTATCAAAGATTGGCAATTTAAAAAAGCACTACTTCATGAAAGTAAGAAGTAAACTGCTTGCCATAAGCCACGTAGCCATGATACAAATTAGAAGTAGGTGGTTTAGTCAATTACCACCCTAAATTAAACATTTTTAATTGCTGAATGCCAAGTTTCACAGATAACGCTGCACATTCAATTCAGTTTATTTATACAGTGCCAGTTCGCAACATATTTCATCTCAAGGCATTTTACAGAGACAATTCAACTACAGTTGATCATGCAGTCATACTGGTGCAAAGTTTTATATCTAAAGAAAACCAGCTGATTGCATCGACTCATTGAATCTAGAGGTCCAGGTTTGAGAGGTCCAGTGAGAGTCCAGACCTAAATCAAAAGGGAGAATTTGTTGCTTAAAGTTAATGTTCACAGATCATCTCTGTCCATTCTGTGATTGAGCTCAAAAGCTGTTTCATAAAGAAGAATTGGAGGAATGCCCCAAGATATCATAGAGCTGCAACTGCAGCAATCCAGTGAGTAAGAATATGTCTCCACAGCATTTTATTTGCCTAAAAATGATCAAACATATGAGCCATTTCCTTCCTCTTAACTGCTTTGCACAACTTGATGTTGATCTATCACACACAGTTGGGGAGGTGATGGCCTAGTGGATTAGAGCAGTGCGCTTGTGCCCTGAGAAGGTTGCATGTTCGATCCCCAACCTCCACTCTGGCTCTCTGAGCAAAGACCTTTAACCCCACACTGCTCCCCGGGTGCTGCACAATGGCAACCTACTGCTCCTCAAGGGGTTGGGTTAAATACAGATAAATTTCTCCAGTGTGAGATCAACAATGTTAAATTATTATTACAATCCAAAGCAGTACAATAGAATTTGGGGAACTGATTTAATAGAAATTAAAAGACTTAAAGCAGTAATAATGACATTTTTACAAGGCAATGTACAGTAAGGTAGCCTACCCTGAATAATAATTAAACATGGTGGTGGAGAAGGGAATACAATAAGCACTTGCACTGCTGTCAGAGTGTTCAAGTCAGGTGCTAAGGTCAAGTCAAAGGGCAGCAGTGTGAAGAGTGAGAGTTCCTTTTAAGGGAAAGGGCTCACCAGTGAAAGCAGATTTCTCCCTCTGCTCTCCGCAAATATTTTCTCTGCTGTTTGCCCTCTTTAACGCCCCCCGATACTGTCAGGAGCGAACCCACCTCTGTTATTTCAATCAGTCAGCCCAACATTTGCTCTTCTCAACCCGACAACCGTAAAGGAGTGGTATGTTTCATCATGTGCCCTGCTGCTTCGCCATCACCTCTCCACACTTGTCATGCCAAAGCGGCTCTGCTTCATTCAGCTGTGACTTGTGCGACAACTGCTCCTTTCGGATGGGGGAAGGATCAGGCTTGAAGTTAGGTCTGTCACTCCTGGACTGACTGAGCTAACGTGAGCCTCTGAAGCTGCTTCTCTCTTCCGTTGTCTTTTCTTTTGCTGGCACATAGGCACAACACCTTGGGGCAGAACGTGTTCTTCAGCACTTCAAAGTGGAGGTAAGGGAGAGGCAGTGTGGGAGTGTGTGCGTGATTCAGTTGAGGACATTACCTCATGGAGGATAAGCTGAGACTGAAGAGGTCTAAGAGAGGTAACTGCCCTTGACTCCCTGGTTCTCTGCCTCTTATCGGAGCAGCTTCTCTGCTCGGGTTCAGGGGGAAGTTTTGACAGCCAGGCTTTACAGCCCCCTCTCCGCTCCACGTTCTGCCACTCTTGACAGAGAAAGAGAGAGGCAGAGTGAAAAGGTGGTGACTTCATCCATTCTAAGAAACCATTCTCTCCCCCTCCTTTTCCGAACTTCCCTTTTCTCTTTTTTTTTCTCCCAATACTTTTGCGCAGCACATTCAGGCAGCATGCCAGTGTTCATCTTGCTGCGCTCCCTGGTTATCAGACTCCTCAGCAGCAGACTGGCAGGCTCACTTGCACAGTTCCTCAGGAGAAGCCTTTCGACAGGCGCTGCCCACCTTGGCACGGCATTGCGATGTATCTGGGACCACGTTCGATCCCAGGAGTCAAAGGAAGCCATCCTGGGTTGTGTTCTGTGCATTCTCAACATGCACAAGAAGGTGGAGAACTGATCTCCCTCTCTTCCTCTCTTTCTCTTCACTTTCTGTTCAGCTCCTCACAGCTGAATAGAGACTGGACATCTGTTTAGGGGAGAGTCTAAGGGATCCTTTTTGGACACAAGTGAGATTTTTTTATTTTCAGTTTTTTTGCCAGGATGTCTGAGAGCATTGTAAGGAAGGTTCAGCCCTTCACCATTGGAACCAGGCTTTCCATTCCTTCTTTACCAAAAGAGTTTCCACAGAGTTATCTACCCGGTGAAGCTCTGGATAATTGCGTTTTACAGCATAACCTGAACTCGCTCTACCTCAGCAGATCCCAGGTCTGTGCACATGGCTCCCGTCTTGTTTTGCCGATCGCTGATGAGGCAGCTTCCATGAAATTCAACCCGGAGCACGTGGCAACAGAAGACCACCTGAACCAGAACATTGCCTCTCCCTCAGCCGTCTCTAGATCCATTAAGAAGATCACAATCTCTGGAAGTAAAAAGCAATCAAACACCAAAACGGTGCTGGGACCAGTTGCACGCTCCTCGCCTGTAAACAGCAACAACAATAACAACATCACCAACAGCAGCTCTCCAGATCAACAGCAGCCAAGAATCGTGGGAGTAAGCTGTGAAAATAACCCCAAGTCTCAATTTAAGGTACAAAAGGTATCAGTGGTACTGTACTTACACAAAAAAAGATATATATTTACTATGCTGTGCAGTTTTAGTTGTACAAATTGCATTTCTTAAGAATTAAATTTGACTTGATTTATATGGAAAAATAAAAAATAAAATAAAATTGATAGAATTCATTTTGTAAAAGAAACATAAATAGCTATCCATTTTGTAGAATATTTTCACTTATTACAGAGTTTAAAAAAAGTCAGATACTTATTTTATAACACTAATAGTAAAGATAGCCATTTTAATAAGAAATTAACAGTCGACTACAAATAATACCATTAATGATAATGTTTAATTAATAAAACATATTGTAAATGTTAAACAGTAAGGAAACTAATCTTGTATAAAATAATAATTTGCTGAATTAAACATAAAAATTAAAATAAGGGTAGTTTTGATTATAATAGTGTTAGTAAAAAAAATAATAATAGTAACAATAAAAAAACGATTGTTTGACATTAATTACAGTTGAAATTACCAGAATATTTTTTTTTCTATTTGGGAATATTCCTAAAGTGAATAAAAAGTAAAAAGTTCAATATAACAGTAACACAATAGTTGTATTAAATGATTATATTGAAACTATTTTGGTACTGTAGGGAAGTTTGTAGCCTTTCTGCGTCTGTTTTTCCCTCTTCTCTCTTACAGTCTAAAACTTTATGTCTTTTATTTGTATTTGAATTTTAGGTTTTACTTAGCAAAGAGAGCAGTGAGGAGCCTCAGCTTCTTCAGGGACAAGCTTGGACAAGATTAAATGTAGAGAGATCAGCTGAGGTAAGTTTAGTGCTTATTTAAAGTGAACTTACAATAGAAAAACAGAAGCATATATTGAAATAGAAATGTATCCTCTGCAAAGAACAAACCAAGAAAACATTACAAATCCCAGGTGATTCTTTCCTGTAAGATTCAAAAACCTAACAGAATTTATTGAGCAAAATATAGAAAAGGACCAGCCAGCCATAAATAGATACCAAAATAATGTCGTTGCGTTTTTAAGGTTTTGTGGTTTAATCAAAGATTTCGGGTCTCATATCGAACACGTTGTTAGAGATCTCATCTGAGTTCTGATTAATCTCTGGATTCTACGTCTACTAGCCTTAAGTCACTTAATCTAACATAGTATGCACTTTAATTGAATTTCCAAATGAACATTTCATTTCTTTTGTAATTTGTTTTAATAAATAGACCAGTCAAATAAAAAAAAAAGTTGTGTTTTGTTTAGAGAGTGGATTTAAAGTGTATGAAGTACCCGACATCGGCAGACCTGGAAGAGGCAGGGCTTACTGGAAAACATGAAGTCAGGGGAGTATGTTAATAAAAGAAAAAAAAACTCAATGAGGTGTGTTAAAATAACATATAACCTCAGCTATAACTTCATTTCTCTATAATCTAACACATCATTTTGTTTTCTCTCAAAACAACTAGATTATTTTGCTTCCACTCTTTTTGTTGATTAAAGCTGGAAAATAAGGAATCACTTAAAAAATGTTAGTATCTTCACCTTTTAAGCTGATGAGTTTACATGAAACTGATGTGGATCTGTTCGTTCCCGCTTCCTTTTCATGCCCAGATGTTTCCTGAGGGGGGAGAAGGAATGCCTGTCTATTACTGTAACTGTGCCAACCTTGTTCAGTTCACTATGGATGGTGTTGACAGTAGATTTTTGTTAGCTGGGACCTTGGGACCATCCCAACACATGTTGTGATTTCCTTAGGAAAAGGCCAGCCTAAGGTAGAAGCAGATATTGATATGAGAGCAGAGCCAGTTCTGTCATGTATTGTCTCAAATAATTAGATTTTGATTAAGAGGAAAATAAAGGCTTCAGATTCTTATAAAAACAGTTAAACAACCCTTTATTTTAATGTGAACTTTAAATGGCTTTTTAATCATAAATAGCTGATGGCATGCAATGCTTAGACCTTGCAGTATGAATGGGACTAATTTATTATTTATTAACTGGAATGCAGATTTGCAAGATTAAACTTAGCGTGTGTGTTTTTCCATCAGGGCGCCCTTGAGGCACTGGTTGAAATTGACAAATTGGACTCTGCGATGCAGTGTTTAGGGGTCTAATATACAAATAAAATCAGCAGAGAAACCGAAGATTAATTGAGAAAAGAGTATAAAAAATATGACCATCGAACTACTACAAAACCTTTTTTAAATTATTGCCTGTTGTAGAGTCTCAAATATTCCTTAAATGTCTTTATTGGACCAGTTAAATTAGTCAAATATTCAAAATTGCTTATGTTTAAAAATTTGAATTAATTTCTCTACAAATTTGTACCTCTTTTCAGTTAATTCCTGCTTTCCTGTAAAACCTGTAAAAACAATATTTCTTATTTAAGTACCTAAACCATCATATTTCTTTATTTTTCATTTTAAGCTTTTACATGAATTACAAAAACAGTCAAGTGCAATTGTACAATTTGCACAAGAATCGACCAAAACTGCAAATTTGGGAAATGGTTTCGGGGAAGAATAAACTATGGCAATGCTGTAATTAACCACTAAAGTTTACCTCAGATTTGTTGGTTGCCCCCTGCTGGTGTGGAGGTCCAACGTCAGTGGCTTATAGTTTGCTTATGGTGTGGGCTGGCCAAATTTTAGAAGTTAAATAAAAATGTATCTCAAATGAAAACAAGGTGTTTTTCAATAAAAAGCAACACATACTTTCCACTGATTTCTTCAGAATGATTTATTATACATATTTTATTTTGACAAGAGCAGGATTGAACATTGTTGCCATGGTTTTAAAAGTTTTGTGGCCACACAGATTTCAGCACCTGAGAAGCAGAACAAAGAGCTTCAGAGGAGAGAAAGTCAGCAGCGTGATGAAAGTCCGGCAGCGGCTAAAACTCATGGTGAATGTTTTACTCAGCAGAACTCTCTTTTCAACAAAGAAGCACTACAGGTAATCTATGCCATTCAAACATTTTTTCATTCAACATACAGACCCTATTAATACATCAAGATCATGTAAAGATGTGCAAGGGGCCCCCCTAGAGCTTTTGCATGAAATGTATTCCATGAATAAAAGCCTTTATTAGCTTATCAAACCTTCATATCTCTCCTGGAGGAAAGAAGGCGCAGTAAGTTCATCTTGAAAACATGAAGTAATGCTGCTGAGATGAAATCAAAAAGGAAGCTGCCTTCCGCATGACCCTCCAGTGGGAACAAAATATGTACTGGTTCTTATTTTGTCTCAAGAACTGTGTGAGCTGTGTTCAGCGGAGGGAGGGAGAGAGGGAGGGAGGGGAAGCCGCCACAACCAATTATTTAGGGATGAGGTCATTGTTTGGCTCCATCTCTTCACGCCTATGGCTGAGAGAAACTCAGCCAAGCGGCGCAACTGGTTGTGTTATCTCATTGCAGCGTCCTCTTTAGAGCACAGACAGACATTTTCATGGAGTTTGACAGGGGGACGTTTTCATTAGATCTCTGTCGTGCAACAATTATCGAGCAAGCATTCAAGTGATAGGCAGTTTACTCCTGAACACAAGAATTTAATTTTGGATGTGACAGCTGAAGAAAACATGACGCAGTTCTGTAGCACGTTGTTAACACTAACAAGCTCAATAACTTTTATTTGTTCTAAGATACTGTACCTTGCATTTTGATAGCAAGTGAGCTGCTTGTTTAAGAATTACCTATTGTTGATTTTTTTTTTATTATTATTATTATAGCAGTATGTCATTGCTCTGAAAGTGGAAGTGAGATTTTCATTCAGAGACATTAAAAGGCCCCTAATGGTTCATGCTAAGAGGGAAAAGCATGTTGCCTAATGGATGGACATATCCTTTCCTGCAGCTGCTCTGCAAAACATCTCACCTTTCACCATTACATTTTTATGCTTAAAAAAAATGGAGAAACTGTTTTAAGCCAAGCTGTGTTACTCTAGAGGTGAAAAATGTGTATGATGATAAGACGGTTTTAAGGAGTAAAGATTAAACTTCTTAAAATTGGATTTTTTTCTGTCCTGACTGGCTCTGTCTACTGAAACAATCATATTTTGCCAAACTGAGATTTTCAACTGGATTTGCACCTCTTTTCCAAAATTCTAACTGCTTTTTCTTTCGCTCCAAAAATAACTTGAATTAATATAAAAAAAAAATGTTTTGTGATGATTTGTAATAACTGGCCTTTGTATTATCTTATCGAGCTTGGATCTGGCAATATGTTAGAAACTACTCAACTTCTACGTTAATGCAATGCAGCTGGACAGAGGGGTAGATTAAACAATTTATTCTATGAGTACTTTATCTGAGCTAAGGTTTTGAAGTTTTTATGCTGTCTGTTATTTCTCAGAATAGTCTGTATGTATAGTTTTCACTATCTTCTAAACGCGAGGCAGCTATGTTTGGAAAGAATTTGGGAGTTTCTTAAAAAGCTGTTTTGGTTCTTTATTCTATGCTTCCTTGTAACAGGAAGGAAGTGTTTACATGAGCTTCCAATAGAGGTGTCAAGTAACAAAAACCAAATACTTAGATACTTTCATTACCTAAGTAGAAATTGTAGCTATCTATACTTTAATTCAATTCAATTCATTTTATTTCTATAGTGCCAATTCCCAACACATGTCATCTCAAGGCACTTTACAGTTCACCAGATCATCCAGTCAAATTGATTTAAAGTTTTCTATCTAAGGAAAACCTGTTGATTGCATCGACTCATTGACTCGAAGACAATCCTTCACAATAAGCATGCTTGTAGCGACAGTGGAGAGGAAAAACTCCCTTTTAACAGGAAAAAAACTTCCAGCAGAACCAGGCTCAGTGTGAGCGGCCATCTGCCAAGGCCGACTGGGGTTTAGTTCACTTTACTGGAGTAATTATTGTTATGACAACTTTATAATTCTACTCATTACACTTTTTTGCACCATCTCTACTTTCTACTCCTTACAGTTTAAAAATAGACTCATTTGTTTTGTTTCATTTAAGCTCATTTTCATAAAAGCCTTTTGGTATTTAACAAAAATCCATCAAAAATAATTTGTTTAATCCAGACAATTAATTTCTTTTAGGTTGGTCTCGGTGCTGCTCCAACTTATTGTTTTCGCCAGATGATGCTAAGTAAAATCTGACACTGTTCCCATTAGTTTTAAAACTAAGAAAATTGATTATAAGGAAGTTATCATTAAGAATTGTGGAAAAATCTTCCCTTAATATAGTAGTGCAGTAAAGCATCTGCCCTTAACATTTTTTTCCTGTATTACTTTTACTTTTATATTTTAAGTACTTTTAAAAGTTGTACTTTTACACTTTTACTCGAGTAAAAAGCTTTAGTTCATACTCAACTTCTACAAAAAAATTTTTAAACTGTAGAATCTTCTACTTGAATAATAGATATTAATATTTTGACGCCTCTGGATTCCACAATAAATCAGCAGCATGCAGTGAAATGTAAAACCTGGATTTAGTTTGTCACTTTTTAAAGCATGGTGTAAATCCATTTGCTTTGTTACTGGCAGAAATTGCTAAAAGTAGGACGCAATAAGCGCAGCAATTAGTGCATCACAGCTATAACCCACTCATCTCATGTGTGATGTCATTTCCAGATGTGGGCTTCTACTGTTAAAAACAGCAGAAATAAAAACTGTAATGTAAAAGCCATATTTACAAAAGCTAGTTATTGCTTCTGTTCTATTAACCAAAACAATATTGAAGTTTTTATACGTTATTCCTCAGCTGTCATGTTTACTTCTTTCTCTCACAGAGATCTGACTTCTGTAACAAATCAATCACAATGGTCTACAGTATGTTACTGATTCCAGTCCTTCGTTATTGGAATTACGTTGTCATCATATGCTTTGCGTTCTGACATCTTCTTGTAGTGTTATAGAGACTGGCTAAGTGGTCTAACTAGGGCCTTCTTCTAGGCTTAATGTTGGAAAACTTTCACTTTTGCGCAACTGTGTTTTTTAGAGATTTATTTTGATAGCAATAATTTAAAACAGAGATTTTTTTGCTTTACATTTCTTGTCACCAAAGGGAAACATAGCAGCACATTTTGATAAACAGACCATTGTTGTCGAGAGTGGACAGGAAGAAACAAGCCAATCATAGACTTCCTGCATGAGGTCATCATAATGTCATGGGAGCCATTGTGAGCAGATATGAGTGAGCCTGTTTTGTCAAGCTGCTTTCTCTCTACTCTACATAGTAGGGGGTGCTTCGTAAAGTTAATGGCTCTCTTATTAGGAGAAGAGTAAAACAAAGTTTTAATAATGAGCCAAAAGTCCTTCATTGCTTTTTGCACCTTTAGTGTTTTATTGATTCAGAAGTAGGATTAAGGTTACCTTCTTTCTTTGCTTAAAAGCTACTCAAGAAAATGCTTTATTGTGACAGTATTATGACTTAGTTGGGTCTTTAACCTGCATTTGACGATCTGCAAAGCAGAGTGAGGTTCAGCTGATTTTATTGGTGTTATGGCTCATGTAGGATCAGTCTGACAGGAACGAGAATCAATACAGATTTTTTTGTTCTTTTTTTTTTTAAGACCGTTTGGTGTTTCAGGCTTGGGTGGCTCATCCACTTCCATGCCATGTTCTCTCCAAGAAAATAAACACACTTTCTCAGACATTTCTCTTCATGGCCACCTAGTTTGGTGGCCTTCTTACTTCATGTGAAGTGCTGATTGAAAAGGCTGCTTTTCGAGACAAAATCTTATGCAATAGAGTCTGAGCTGTGGCCAACACAAACCTCCGCTCCACAAAGCATGACATTGGAGAACATGAGGCTGTCTTTGATCTTTCCCAACAGCTGAAACACAATACAGCAAGGGTGCAAAATTTAAACATGTTTGATGGATTTGTTGAATAGGTGACTCACTTATAATTGGCTATATTAATGAAATGAAATGCTTCTAAGGTATAAAGTGAAATATGATTTTGTGTAATGATGAATGATGAACATCTGAAACTGTTTTTATCCGCGTATTTGTTGGTAATGCAGGCAGAAGCATGGATCAAAGGGAAACTACAGGACTTGAAAGATGGCTGCAATGTTCAATACTGCCCCCTGCAGGACTGGGAGGAAGCTGCACAGACGCTTCAAAGAGACCTCAAAGATTTTGAGAACACCCTGATTCAGCTCAACCAGGTATCAAATCCCCCCTACACAGAGCTGCACTGTCACGATTCATATGAAATATAAATACGTAACTTAACATGTAAGGATGTTCTTTTTGCGTATATGAATGTAGTAAAACACAACATGGTGGGTAGAATGGAGTGGAATCCTGAGGTTAGGAGCTGAAAACCCACTCCCACAGACTGCCACTATGACTCGTTGAGCAAGACCCTTAACCCCCGATTGCTCCAATGTTCAATTATTATTATGATCATAATGATTACAATTCATGCCAAAGGAATTCAGTAGACCTTTAACTTTTGTTGTTTTTTAAATGTTGTCACATTACATAAAAAACATTATCATGCTGTATTGAGCTTCTTCTGTTTAACTGACAAAAACTAGAACAATGATAAGCGAAGAGAAAATGACAGATGTTCTTTCAAATTCTTCATTACACATAAAAGCAAAAAAATTGGCTTCCTTTGCTATTTGGCATTGACACAACTGATAATGCTGCCAGTTATCTTCAGAAGTTATGTATTAAGTAAAAAAGAGTCTACTTCAACTTGACACACAAAGGCTGGTTTGCACATGGAACAAGGAAACTAGCCAGAGTTGAAAGGAAGAGAGATAATTTTTTAGCAGGACAACTGTAAACATAGAGCCAGAGCTACAGTGGAATGGTTTATATTACAGCCTATCCACGTTACAGTGTGCCTATTAAAGTCCAATCCTAAATCTAACCGGGAAGCTCTGAAGCGAGAAGGAGCAATATGTACATGTGTATGTAGTTCCAAGGAAGACAAGGAAGAAAGGCAGGATCTGATTCAGTTTAGTCTGCTTATTTGTTTCACAGTACAGTACATAACTACTCGGGTTGAGGGGGTTTATTTTTGTTCATCAGAGATACCATCTGGGGAAAGAAAAAATCTTCTGAAATGATAACAAGTAAACCTAATAACCCAAAATGTCTCTAGATGTGTAGAGCATGTTGAGCCAAACCCCAAAAAGAGTTTGTGTACTACATGTGTACAAGGTGGTTCCACGAAGTATTGAAGCACAGGAGCTGAATACTAATGGGAATCCATTTTTATATAGTTTTAGTATCATTTTCAGCCTCGTACTACTTTCTGTCTGTAATTTACATACAAAAACACATAAAGGTTTTGGGTTGTAATACTATGAGAAGTTTTAGCTTTCATGTGATGTTTGGAAAGTTTGAAATGTCTTAATAGTCCATAACTACTTTGGTAAATTAACCAGTAAACCATTAAAGGTGCACCAGACATACAACTGTTAGTTTATAGTTTTTAATTTCCAGTATTTGTGTTGCTACCTCAGTCTGGGTTGTAGCTCAATGAAAACTGTTATTTCCCAAAAGCTGGGTGAGCAGCTGATCTGCAAGCTGAACCCGACATCTGACCTGGTGAAGAAGCAGCTCAGTCAGCTCAGGGAACAGTGGCAAAACCTGAGGCAGATGGCTGCAAATCAGACACGCGCTTTGGGTGCAGCCAGGAACCTGCAGGAATTCAACAAGAAGGTGGACAAGCTGGAAGCTTGGATTAAACAGAAGGTAAAAAAAATTAAATAAAAAACAGAGTCATGTGGTTTTTGCTTTTTTGTTCGTGTTTAATGACATAAGCACATGCAAGGACGACAGGACATGCAAACAATATTTAATTAACCAATAAAATGCCTAATTTTTTTTTATTTTGTGACTTTTCTCATCCTAGCAATATTTGTAAAACCTAGAATTTGGAATAGTTTTTAAAGTCAAAGTGGACATTTTCTCTATTTTATTTTAATGATAACTCTCCCCCTAATTGGTACAAGAAGAGGTCTTGTTGATTCAGAAAGTTAGCTAAGTATCCTAAAGGCATACCCTATGTTTATGTTCACCATTTTACATCTGCCTGGGATTGTAAGAAACACTCAGTGTTTGTCCCTCTGTTCCTGTCTGCTTCTCACTTGTATAAGCGAGTGATGGATGATGAATATATGGGAATGTCATTAATTAGAAGAATTAATTAGATTAACTGCTCCCCCGGTTCCACACAATGGCAGCCCACTGCTCCCCAAGGGGATGGGTCATATGCAGAGAGTGAATCTCCCCATTATGCAACAGTAAAGGGATATACATACATATATACAACTATTAAATATATAAATTATCCATCCTTAAAAAATGCATTCTATGTATTTTAATCTCATCCTATATTTCATTCATTAAGTTCAAAGATTTACTTATTTAGCTAGTAGTCAAAATGTTTATATGGTTGAGGTCAGGACTGTTAAAAAAGCTTAGTATAAAATCTGCTTTCCATTCAATAAACAGTTTTTAAACATGTCTGTAAACCTTGTCCTGTTGTCAGCCCAAATTGTGTCTGAATTCATGTGGAAGAAGCAAAGATACTCTTTCTGTAGCGCACCTGTACCACGGGTAGTAAAAAAGACCCACAGCCTGATTCTGCCACCACTATGGTAAATAGTTGGTAAGAGTCGTGTCTGAAAGTCTCACCTTGACTCATCCAAACATATTCATTATTGTGGGTAGATAGGTTTAGTTATTGTCCAACAAATAAACCTTTCTCCTCAAGACACTTGGATCATCTATTTAGGTAGCAACTCATTTCAGTCAAGCTTTAAAGTTTCATGCTTTGCAAAACAGACATTTTTCCCGTCTGTCTTCTGTTTAATGCTGATTTCACTTGACCATGGACAGTGACTCTGGTGGTACAGGCCTTTCCAGCTCATGACAGGCTTATTCATGGTTGTTCCTTTATTGTTTCTAAACATCCAAACCATTTTTTGACCAAAACCAATCTGAGGTGGCAGTTTTGGTCAAAGTTAAAGGGTTTCAGTCAGTGATCAGAAAAACAATCCCAAGGTAAATTCCAGCTGATTTAGAAATGTGAATAAATTGTTAAGATAATTATCATTGGTGAATTTGTGAGTTTATTACACCTTTAATATTAGCGGCCTGTTCCATGTCAGAATTGATGTTTTCCACAATAGTTTATCTAATTACGACAGTTTCTCTGGCCAGATATACAGTTATAATCTTCATTCTGCATGTGGCAAAGATTTGGAAATGGAATGAGAGGGGTGTCATGGATGTCTACTCATCTGCTAATGTGTATGATGTAATGATGTGATGATGTGGCAGACTGGAGATGTATAAAATGCCTTTTTAACCGTTAATCAGGGCCACTTCCTGAGAGGTGAGCAGCTGCCTTCTGTAAACTCTAAGCAATACTATGATCTAAGTAAGATTACAATTTCTATCAGAATGTCTCATGGTTGTTTAATACATCTAAGTTATGAAGTTTTATTTAAAGAGTTTGTCCCAAGTGATCTCTTTTCAGGAAAAAGAACCGGAGAGATAGAGCTTCAGGATGCATATCTTTAACAAAAGCAAGTTAAAAATGTCTGGAAATGCCCCGACATTCAATATAAGAAAAAATGATTAGTTGAAGTGAACTTTATGAAATCTGCCTGGAATACTTAAATATCAGACTCACTTAGGCTAAATGTTTGTTGATGGAGAACCAAGGTACAATTTTCTTAGGGCCAGTTACCCTAATAGTATAGCTGTTTGAGCCTGTTTGGGTTGAAACTAAATCCACGACATTTCATAGGGAAGACGCATCTTGTGTAATTATGCAGCTCTAAGGGTTCAAGTAATCTTAAAAGCCAAAAATCGTGGTTGTCCAAACTGACATTGTGCCAAAAATCCCCCAGTTAGAGCGACATCAGGGACCTAAAAATGATTCTACTTTTTACCTGCTCAAGCATAAACTAAATATACAACATTGTGTTGCAAAAATAAAGTAGTCAGCTTGCTTTGGGAATTTGTAAATAATTGTAGCTCCTAAACATAAAAAGTGCAATTTATCCTATCAAAATAAAGTAAATTGATCACTCTTACTTTGAAATGCTTGTTATATTACAGTTTAAAACATGGGTTTATGCTTTCAAGTAAGTTTCAAAGTAGATGTTTGAAAAATGATTGATTTGTCAGGGAAAATCTGATCCCAAACTTTTAAAGAAAAGAATAAATCCATCTGCATCAGCTGCATGTGCTGTTAAGTCAAATTTGCAAAGAGGTCTCTCTAATGGCCACCACTGGTCCCTGGGAACCTCTTCCCTAAAACAAATGTAACATCCATGCTTGGAATGACCAAATCCAAAGTCCTCCTGAGTGGAACTCTGTTTTATAGCTTCCTAGTCAAAGAAGTCATGAGTTTTTTTCTCTCTGTGCATCTGAAAAGAAATGATTGTTAGCTTTCTTACAAACGCTTCCTCTATAAACAGTGACTTTTCTGTGTGACAGAAGGAAGAGGAGCAGTCTCTGGTGAGTGTCCTGGGGGAAAATGTTGACAAAATGCAGCTCACCAGGAGAATTCTTGATCTCAAACAGGTCAGCCTTGGAAAGACGAATTTAAAACAATTTCTAAATTATACTTAGAAAAGCTTTATGTCAGTTCAACTATGCATTCCCAAATGGTAACAGTTTTATTAATAACTGCTGCATTTTAAGCAGTAGGCCTCTATCTGTGTCTGATTGTAAACAGATCACCAGGACACAGCAAAGAAATCTAATCTCACAGCTGTTCCTTTTTTTTTTTTTTTTTTTTTTGACCACAGGATGAGCAGCTCCACAGAAACCTGCATGAGGAGATCAACAATCTGGCCCTGAAGTTAGAGAAATTAGGGAAAGCGGAAGGCAAAAACATTACCATGAGGAAGAAACACATCAATAAAATGTATGCTTTGTGTATTCTGCAAAACAGAAGGGCTTAATCTTACAGCTTTGGTGTAAAACTAATGAGACGTCCATATTGATGGTCTTTTTGCAGGTGGCTAAAGATCCAGACCTATCTGAAAAATTACCATGAAAATCTTCAAATGGCCCTGGAGATTTCCTCTCTTTACCAGCAGGCTGATAATACATTGGATGCAATGAACAACATGGTAAACTTTCAGAGAGCCTAATCCTAAATCATGATTATGTTCTGAGGTCTATTTACTGAGCGCATCCTCTGTTTTAGAGGAGAATGCATGCATCTAATGAGCTGGAAAACTTTGGTGACAGAGAAATTCGTGACATTGCAAGTCAAATCATGGTAAGAGCAAGAGCAGAACCGTGCAACGGAACCAAGCAACAGGAGGCTTCTCTGACTAACCAGCAGGTCTGTCTCTGTGTCAGATGCTGGATGTGAGCGTATCCCAGCTTCCCAAACTTCCCCAGACTCTGGCTGCCAGCGTCACAAGGAAGCAGGCTGAGGTGAAAGAGTGCTGGGCGCTCCTCCAGAAGGATCTAAGGTACATCAGCCATGACCACTATGTCTGTTTTACACTTTGGAGTGTAACTTTTTCAGTAATTTAAAAACTGGATCTCTTTTAAAAGACAAATTATGTCAACGATACTGAGCTAATTTGCTTTAGTCATACCATTAAAATAAAACACCTCAATGTCCAGTTTGCTGGATATGAGAGGAACAGAATAGAGATAAATAAAGAATATTTAATAACTTTGTTTGATTAGCATACAATTGGCATCTATATCATTATTCCAGTGAGAATTGAATCCTATTAGAACAAATACCTGGGCATGCAGGTGGTGCAGTGGTTAGCGCGCATGACACATATATAGAGGCCTTAGTCCTTGACGCTGCCGACCTGGGTTCGAATCTGGCCTGTGGTGCTTTGCCACATGTCTTTCCTCCTTTCTCATACCCCCTTTCCTGTCAGAAAAATTAGCCACTAGTGCCATAAAACAAAAAGCAAGAATGAATATCTGCTAATAGCATGCTTCCATTTAAAGTTCTGTTACAGATGTGCTGCGTATGCAATGAATCAATATTCTTTAGAAGAGTATCTTATGCGTTATCTGGTGTTTGTTAACTAGATTAATCTGTTATTTTTTGGACTGATGATACTGCAAGAAATTAGATTTTATTACGGTTAAAAAGCAACATTAAATTGTCTGAATGGATAACTTATTTAATTGGGTAGAAAATAGAATAGTTTTATAAGGCAAGAAGAAAAAGGAAGAGAGAGGAAGTTGATGAGGATATTTAGGAAAAAGGGGTGTGATTAAAGCAATCAACAAGGAAATATTCAGCTCAGGGAGGGAAAGGTCACAGGGTTAAAGTTAAAGAATGTAGGGGGGAAAAAATGAAATCGAACCAAGGAAAGAAAGTTTGCCACAGAACGGAATAGGGCCAAAGGAATTGAAAAGGAAAGCTGGAGGGAAATGGAAAGAAGGAAATGAAAGGAAACCAATTTTGAAAGTTGAAATGCAAAAAATTAAAGGAAAATAAAAACACTCTTGCTTTTCATTTAAAAATAGTTTTTTTGTTAAGAATTATGTCCAGATTCCTGACATCCTGCCTTCCAGACATTTATCCAAGTAACAGGGCCTCCCATGAGAGTGGCCTATCTAAAGCTACCAACACTACATCATTTCAGCTGTTTTGTCAGCATCAGTTTGTAACTATTTAGACAGAATAAACAAATAGCTGAAGAAAACCTCAGAGCTTTAACTGGAGTTCATTGCTAGTCTCTGAGGCCCGACTGTCAACACCACAGTAACCTCCTGCTCCTCCTGCAGGAGTGACAGGACGACACACTCCCTCCCTGGTTCCACTTTCACCAGGGAAGATGCTGACCTTCTGACTCCTGTGTGCGAAGCCCAATGCATCACGGGATCTGAGACACATGGGATCATGGGAAAAGAGGTGAAGGAGGAACAGAACCGTCTGAAAGGCTGCCGAGTGAGTAGTCTTGATATTTCGCCGTTGCTCTGAGGGAGGAGAGTTGAACTCCTTCCTGGATGGCAAAAGATTAGATCTGTTTCCTGTCCTTCAAAAACTGTAGAAAATTATTCACTTTGTCTTTTCGTTTGGAAAATTCCTGATTTCCAACTTAAGGAGTTTTTTTTTTTTTTTTTTCCAAACTAAAGTTTGACAAATGAGTGGAGAGCTGTGACTTCTGGTTTTGGCAATAAACACACTGCTGGCTTTCCCTCCTTTCCAGCAACTTAATTGCACTTAAAAGCATCATGTGATGTCCCAGTTTAGATGCATCCCTTCATCATACATTCAAGACAAATTCGCCTTTTGGCTCTGAAACTGTACAGAGCAAGGCTGCCTGTTGTAGTGCAACATATAATTTGACTTGTTTTTATTCTAGCATTCACTCTAATCAGACAAATGAAATCCCAGTGTGGAGTTTTTACCAATGCTGGCCAATAAAAGTCACAGGAAGAACATTTATATATAATCTGACACAAGAAATCCTTAAGTTTCCATTTAAAATATCAAGTTATATCTGTTCATTATGGTTAAATAGAAGATGAAACTAAAAAAGGATTTTCCGTTTGACCCCTACATTCTATTCAATAGTAAATATACATCCATTCTGTCATCATATAATTTATTTACTTAACCATATTAATAATTTGTTTAGGATTAACTCCCGGATTACTTTTAGATGTAACTTTTCTTGCATTAAAGGCCAGCTTAAACTTTATAGAACATATGGGTTCTCCTACAGAAACCCCAGAACTGCCGATAAACCTAAAAGGAAATTTCCTTGGCTTCTTTTGACAAAAAAAAAAGAGTATTGGAAAAGTATGTGGTTTGTTAAAACCGGTTTTTATCAGTATTTTTAGTCTTTTATATTTGCACTTTAAGCTGCTTTGTAATTCGTAGCAGAAAAGCAAAGAGAGCATTTGTGTCCAGAACAATTTGATCCCTTACTGCTTTTATAACGTTGGCTGCTGTTTCTTGCAGAAGCACATACCCAGTTTGTTGAGTATAGTAAACTTTATTTGAAGTCATTTCTATTTGAATTTTTGTTGATCCTGTAGCTTCACTACATGCCGGATTTTGCCTTTTGTTTTTCTCAGCATGTTGACATGAATCCCCTGAGCTCTTTTACTGCTGTCTTTATTTTACTGTGAGCTGGGAACTGCAGAGTGTGGGAGGTTTGCTTGTTCCTATTTAAAGTAGAGCTAATAAGACATGCCTTATAAAGCCCTGTATATAAATAAAAGCTAGAACTATGTCCTACACACATAATTGTGGAGAATAAGACATTTAAAAGCCTTTTTAAGGCATGATTTCTTTTTTTCTTATCACTATTTTCAAAGATGTTCTCATGCATGTGTAGCAGGGCTCAGATATGTAGTTTAAAACATGTAGAATTTGAGATGAGGCAATTTGAGTATTATTCAGATCTGGATACGTTTTAAAAACAGAGAATAAACCATGGAAATTATTTGCTTAAACTTCATTTTCCCATTACATTGGATATAGACTGCAACTTATAATTATATTGCCAGTCAATCGATTATTTTAGTGATCTGATAGCAAAAGGTGAAAATGCATGTTTTCATTTTGCCGAATTTGAACCAGGTGAAGGTAAAACTAGATCTTAGTTTTGGGTAGAGCATGTTTTAAGACAAATAAGGATTTTCCACCTTAAATTAAAAATATGGATGTTTTTTATGCAGTATTGCCTTAATTATTGTCATGTAAAGGATTTACTGTTATGTTCAGGAAGTAGTGTATTTCCGGTGTTTTGTTATGAAAAGGGCAGAACGGAAGTCTGGCCCAGTCTGTTAGTGAACGATACTCGAAATAAAGAGGCAGGTCACGCCGGTTGAACTTCTTCTCATTATTTCGTACTTCTTGTCATTATAGGCACACAAACAGAACACTTTGCTGCTCTCTATAGCCTGTATACTCCAGTTAATGATTATTCCATTATTAAGTTAAATAAACATGTTTTCAATAAGCAGTTAATCATGATTATTCTTTATAAAGTGATTTATTTTCCAGCCCTAGTTGGATGTAACTACCTATAATTTTATTATCTCCATTTGATATTATATCCATCTGAAGGCTTTTTCTGCGAGTCTGTTAGGGCTGCTGTCCATACTGTATCACAAATATATTTGATATTTTAATATCTTAAAGAAACTGTTCAGAATGTTATCTATTCTCATAAGCGTCGTTAGACCTATTTAAGGGTGGCTTCAGCCACCCTTTCTTTGGCATTAGCCACCCTATAATTATTTTGCGATTTTAAAAAATATATATTTTTTTTCTGTATTTATTTTTTCCTCATATTTTCCCAAAACAAATGCAGTAAAGCACCGAATAAAAGCCATAAAGAAGACAAGTTAATCTGAACAATCATAGGCGTAACTTCCTTAAGGACTGGTGTGGACATGTCCCCACCAATATTTTGTACACGTATTTTGCTTTCGGTGCTGTGTATATCTGATTAAAACCCCATTCATGCCGCTCCTCAGAAAGAAAATAAAAAAAGTTCTCCCCGCTGCTCACCGTCCACAAACCCCGACAAAAAACTCAGAAAAAAGAATCTGTTGCCTCTCGCTTTCTCCCCATCACCCCCTCCGCCCTCTCCCCATAACATTTGAATTGAAGATATCCGCGGGTGACGGGTCGGGTTCGGTCGTCATCCTAACGGGTTCGGGCGGGTGCGGGTTGGTAAAACTCGACCCATGCAGGTCTCTAAGCTACACTACATTCAGTATCGTTGCCATAGAAACAGACAACAGCGCCAATATATCAGAATTATACTAAAACACACGCAAATAATTTCCCACATAAAAAACAGGACTTTCAGTCCATTACAGTTTTCCGTTTTTAGAGGGTTGTTTATTTTGCGTTTATTAAGTGATGGCTGTGGTATATTAGCTTTCACTGCTATAAGCTTTCGCAGCAGTGATTGATTAATTTAAACACCTGCTCTACTGATGGTCTATCGGAGTTGGTGTTTAGGTTGAACATAAAGAACACCTTTTATTTGAAGCTTCTTGTAGCTACTGTTTTAATCCCGGCTTTACTTAAAACTTTTTCCTGACTTTGATAGTGTTGCCATTCAGTAGCAAGCACTGCGCCCCTTTTTCTTTTATATGTACACGTACATTTAAGATTTAGCGTGTTAAGTTAACAACTCATGAGCAAGCTGCTTTTTGCAATCTAGCAGGAAGGTAAGGATAGGATCTTGCAGGTGTGACGTCACTCTGCAGGGGGTCCAAAGATAAAAGATTTAAACAATTTTGGCATTGGAATTTCAGATTTAAGGGAGTTAGAAAGTTCACTTAGTAAAAGTGCAAATAATAAATCTGATTACCGATTACTTTTAAGCTGGTTGAACATACTGCGACAGACTGGTGACCTGTCCAGGGTGATCCCACCTCTCACCCAGAACGTGGCTAGAGATATGCACCAGCACCTCCTGATCCCACTGAGGGATAAGGTTAAAGAAAATGGATGGTTGAACATAGTCCGCTCTCCCAGATTCTATCAGTATTGATACCCTCAGGGGCGGATTTAGGAAATTTGGGGCCCCAGGCAAAGACAGGCAGGGGGCCCCCTGAGAAGAAAACCCATAAAACAGACCCATTCTACAGATAGAGAAATGTTAATAGAATAGACATCCATTATTTGTTCTAGGTTTTGTCCCTCTCTTCTTGTCCCTTTTTCCTCTCTATTTATCAGCGTTCTGATGGCATTTTAGCCAAAGGATTTTTATCAAAAACATAATTAATGTGCACAAATAAGGATTAGTTGTATTAACCATACATGGAAACAGAGTTTTATGGGGCCCCCAGAACTTGGGGCCCTGGGCAACTGCCTAGTATTGCCTAATGGTAAATCCCCCCCTGGATACCCTGCTGGTGGATGTTCTTGACAGAAAGACGGAGTTGCTTAATCATATTCTGCTTAAGGTCCCATAAGATCTTGTCCGAGTCCTGGTTTAAAAGTAAATAAATTTTAAAAAGTGACCCAAAATTGACTGTCAATAAATGTTCTACAAAATTGATATATTTATTTGATTTGTACTGTCTGTTTAGATTTATGTGATATTTTTTGCACAAAATATATAAGTGAATATTGTAACAGTTATGTTTTCAACTGTAACCATTAAATTGATAAATGTTATCCGCATTTTTTTGGCTTTATCCTTTCCAACAAAAAAAAAAAGGCGTCGCGCAGGTAGCTCCCTTTCCTTATGAGCCGTCCCCACCAACTTTCAACACAAAGTTACACCCTTGTCTTAGACAACGCCTTAGCAGGTGCACTGAAAAAATTCGGCGCGCGCTACGTGCGCGCATTATCTTCTAGGGGCTGAGCCACCCTTGTGTCTTAAACCTAGAGACGCCCCTGTCTATTCTTATAATCCAAGTACTAGTAGTGCTTTGAGTAACAGTTGTATGAAAGACGATGTGTGCAGGCACATGTGAAGGTGTAGATGTTTATATGTATATAAACATATTTATTTGCTCAGATAATGGACATGTAACCTGACTCCGCCAGATGGATTTGCTCTGCATATCCATCTGGAAACCTTCTGTTGAAGTAATTTTGGTAGGGGCGAAAATTCTGGTAAGCTGTTTGGCCTATGTTGGTGATAGACGGGCCAAATAAACCAATCACATCAACGAAGCATATGACGTACTAACAGAGCGACGACGAAAACACAACCACAAGCCAGGCTACTCTTGCCGAAACCAGTCGGGAGAAGAGCAAAAACATATTTTCCTCTGAGGAAAGCCTCCAGAGCAGTGTTTTGCTCTTCTTTCAGTGAGAAATACTCTGTTATTCCGATAAAACTTGCACGATAGCCACCCTAACGCTAGTTTCATCGGCTGAAGCCGCCATGTTCTTTAGACTGAACGGTCGCGCTTCTCGTTGCGTCACACCTCAACCCGCCTCAAAGCCAACGCGGTTTGGACGTTCGTTTGGTGAACGGCTCCAAATTTTCTTTAACGGAGAGTCTCCAGACTGATCTGCGAGTGAAACCTTGAAAGCTCGCGAGATCAGGATGGTCTCACGAGGCTAATGGACATGTGCCATATAGATTAGTAAGTTAAATAGGAATCAGGAATTCTGCTGATGTAAATGTCTATAGAAAGGTAAAGTGGTGGGATAGGTGTCCTAGTGGTTAGAGCATAGAACCTGGAATCCTGAGGTTGTGAGTTTGAAACCCACTCCCACAGACTGACACTCCAGGACCCCACTCTGCTCCCCGTGCGGCGCAAATGGCAGCCTGCTACTCTCCAAGGTGATGGGTTAAATGCCAAGAGTGAATTTCCTTGCTCTGTACTTGTGATAGTGTAATGACAATTAAACACTAGAAAGAAAAAAAATTAAATAAGCTTCAGTTCTTCATACCACTTTGCAGACATAAGTACTAAATTATACATATTACATTTATATAAGCCTTGAATACCAAATACATTCACCATGTTGGATGCAGACTCACTTCAGTGGATGTTCACACCTCACACATACTTTAGTTTCTAAGATGTTAAAGTTCAGAAGACTTTGCAATCAAAGATGAAGTAAAGAGGAAAATGTGGATTTATCACTACTTATATTTTCATCACATGATTTTCTGATACTGTGACATTTCCTCCTCTCCTTCTGTAGCTTGGTCTGGCTGAAAAGATGAACAATAAACCGTCCAAGTCTCATTATCTGTGTCCCTTTGAGAACACGCCTCCCTCAGTAGTCCATACATCAGTGTCTTTGTGTTAGCAGTAGTTAAGGCCTCTTGTTTCTGGAGGTAAACATGGCTATCGTCTGTTTCTCTGGCTAATTGTGGCCAGATGCCGCGGCTGCAGACCAGATGGGCTTGGCGGTAAATGATAGTTCTTGGCTGACATCACCTCAGAGCTCAGAACACTTAGACACCCTCAGAGGTAGAAAGGCTCAGCAGGAAACAGACAATAGGAAACATTGCAGAGCGAGGAATGTTAAGCAATGAGAAATTATGTGTTAAAAATAATTATCACTATTCCAGTCTTATATCACAACTTATCACTTATCTTTAGAAGATAAGAGCAAAAAGAAAAAATTTTGGTTGGAAAGAATCTAACAGTTAAAATCAGAAGAAAATGTTTTGCCTATTTCAGAAGTTGCTCTATTAGATTGAAAAGATTGAAGATTGAAGGTATTATCAAAGGTATGTCTTAAAATGAAAAAAACATATTTAACATATTTAAAACACTCTAATCATTGCTTTAAAATATAGAAAACTGTAATAAATAATTACTTAAGTTAGAAATCTATTTTTGCAATGCCTTTTTTTAGAATAGACTCTGTGATGTTGGAGGCAGAAATACTTACAGCAACACAGGGTTATGAGGGTTTACAGGTGGAAACAAACCAGTCATCCAGCAAAACGTTTAGTTTAGAGAATCATGAGTTTAAGTCTCAATTCTTTTAATTTTACATCATTATATGACAGATATTTAAAAACATATATAGATAAAGGGTTAAAATTGAGGTCTTCACTAAGGTCTGCTGTAAGGACTCTGCATCCTTGATTAAAGGAAGAGCTGTGTTACTTCTTTTATACGGAAATTAGTCAACTATCAACTCAGAAGTTTTATAAGTTGTATTTGATAATGATGGAGCTTATGATTTCAAATAAAAATCTAAAATGCATAGCTCACTAATATTACTTACACATTTGGTGTAAGTAATATTAGTGAACGGAAAGAAAAAAAACCTTTAGTCCGTCATTGTGAGATGTCCTCCCTTTATTTAACCCATGCAGTGAGGAACAGCATGCTCCCTGCACTCCGGGGTTAAGTGTCTGGCTCAGGGACCAGACTGACAGTCTGAGGTTCGAAACCAGTGATCATGTGGCTTCTCCAGGAGGCAAACACCCTTCTCTCTACAACCACTGGGTCACTACTCCATAAATAGTCATTACAAATTCAAAATTTTTGCAAATATGGAATATAGTTTTGTTTTGCATTCTTATGCCTAATTTTAAATCATTACTTTTTATTTAAAATGATCATAAATTTATAAATATTGTACACATATTTACAGATGGAGTACTGAAACATTTGTATTGATACATTTTATGACCTGTTGCTATGTTTATGTATTTATTCTTATAAAATCCACCAATAATTATAAATTATTTAGCTTGTAATAGTAATAGTAACAGCAGTATGGTGGATTGGTTGTTTATAATGTTAATAATGACCCAAAGAAACAGGGTTGTTGGTTAGAATTCCACTCCGGATGGGAAATTTGCATGTTTTTAACAGGACAAGTATAGAAATCCTCCACAGCTTTTTTATTGAATACTTTTCCTAGTTTTAGTATATAATTTTTTTAGGTTAAAGTCAGAGATCCCATTCTGATACGAAGCATTGTCTTATTTTAACAGAAATAAAGCCAACAATACATTCTGAAGTCAAAATCCACATTTTTGCATAACTAAAAGTAAAAAGTTATCTACCATTGATAATAATAGGGTTTTGAACAATTTACTTAAAAGTAGCCTTTATTCATGATAACATAAATCAAGTAAAAGTAAAAACTACCCCCTTTGTGTTTCCTACAGGTCCAACAAATCAGCTCTGCACTATAAAACATGTAGGTTACATTAAAAGCCATGCTGAGGGCCCTCTAACCAACCTTAAATATTGCAGGTGACTGTAAAATTAGCTCAGGGACTGTTATTTAGTGTATTTTCATAACCATAACATTGACCTTTTTAAAAACTGAGCTGCATAGCTGTAACAAAGTAAGTAGTTATGGAAATCCCTGTGTAATGCTGGATAAACACAGCTGCTTTAATGATGAGTGCTGGGCAGAGGTGATTTAAAACTTTTCTTTTCCACTAAAAAATTGCTTTTTTTTATATTTTCAAAGCAGTATAACACATGCATATTAACTTGATTTCATTCGTGATTAAATTTCAAATTGTAAATTCCAACATGACAAAGTAGCAGCAGCTTCACTGCATTGTACAGTGTTGTGTGCAAGATGGCGAACTCTCTTTACATGATTAATCAATAGAAATCTTAATTTTAATTTCAGCTGGTAATCTTTGTTTGATATAGAGTTTATTCTTTTTAGTACTGACAGCAAAAGCAAACTCAGAGGAAATCTGTAAAGCACACCATGTTAAGTCATCAACATTAGATCTTTTTCTGATGTTTATGGTAACAGAAAGTTTGACTCGTTTATCCAGAGTATCAGTGACTGTAAGAGCAGTGGCCCAGCTCAGAGGAGCCAGCAAGAGGACCACCAATCAGTGAACCGCAGTTCTTCACCAGAGGGAGATGACTCACTCGGTGCAAATGAGCCCATCAGCACACATGAACCGAAGGGGGAAAGGTGACAGTTAAACCTGACTTCTTTCTTTATGACGTTAAATGAAAGGTCCTTACGCAAAGTTAAACATAAGTGGAGTCACATGTCTGTGTTTTCTTTGCACAGAGAAGCAAGAGCAGAGCCCAGGCATCCTGCCGGCCATCGAGGCCACCCACAACTCCACCTACAACTCCAGAAGTTTACTTTGTCTGCTGACAAGGTGATCAGATTTCTCTTGGATAAAACTAAAATTTACTTGTTTAAAAAATCTAGAAAATAAATGATTGGTGCTTCCATGCATCTAATCTGACTGTCTCGTATTGTCTGCATGAAATAAGAACTCTATGATATGGACTAATTTGTGTTGTGGTCTAAGTCTAAGTCATTTATAATTTTTTTTCCCACAACTAAGTTATTTGACTAGAAATATAAAATATGTTAATAAATCGACATAGCCTTAGTTTGATCACCGGTTCATTCCCTCGGCTCAACTTTATCGTTAAGGATTAAAACAAAGCTGCAAGGTCCAAAGTTTTGATTAATCCAACAAAGTTTAACTATGCAGCACTTTTCATTCAATCTTATTAAACGCAAAGTTAATTTAGAGAAGTTAAAACAAAAAACAAGTAGTGAAATTACCAATAGTAGCAAATGATAATTAGACAAGTACATGAAATATTGCACAAAATGTAAACCTGAGGAAATACCAGAGACAAAATATAAACAGAGAAAAATAGAAGACATAAGACAAATAAAGAGTGATTTAACAATAGTTAATCTATAAAATAAAGAAATAAATAATGTTAAAGACAGGAAACTCATATAAAAAATGACAAAAAGAAAATGTAGATAAAAGTAACAGTAAAATAACAAACAAAAAAAACGTGATGAACCTATATGGAAATATCCATATAACAATAACGATCAATCACAAATGAAATGAACATATATAAATAACAAAGCAATTATTAGAAAAAAGTACACTAATAAAAATTAAAACCCAAACATTTAGCGGCCAGCATCCAATGCAGAGCTCTGTAAGCATCAGCATGCACCTTTGCTTTCCTGCTATTTTTATATGGCAGTTTTAAAAATCACCTGGATCATGTTGTTCTGTTGTTTTGGTAGCTAAGTTACAGGAAAAGTAGTTTCCTCTCTTTATTTTCAGCATCCAACCAACATTCTTTTTGTTTTCTTCTCAGACTTTGTCCTGGCTGAAAGACAACGTTTCCATGGCAACGCAGGTGTGCTTGATGGCTAGCTCCGAGGGGCTGGAGGCAGCAAGGAGGTGTCAACAGTCCCTTGAACAAGAAATCCTCAAAAACAGAGCCAGGATAGAGGTGGTCAAAAGGGTAAACGGAGGCATCGTTGTCACTGTCCCAGTTTAAAGCATCAGCAGCCACTGAATGAAAATGTGCAGCTTTTATTGCTCTTTTCTTATTTAGATGATGATCTATTATCTCGTGTTGGAAAGTTGCACCCTCCAAAAAAAACAACATATTTTACATACATTTTGCAATTATAGATTCCATTTGCGTTATCACACATACTCATCTGTTAAATCCTCCTCAGGAGGGTCATGGGCTGGTCCGTGCACAGCACCCAGGCAGCTCGAAGATTGAGGAGTTCCTCAGCCAGCTGGAAGTCCTTTGGGAAGAACTGAGGAGGAGGCACCAAAGGAATGCTGCCTTTCTGCAGGCCTCTGAGAAGCTCGGCTTTAGAGTAAGATTCATTTTTTGATAATCCCTGAACAGAATGTTCTCTGAGGTCATACTGTTCTAGGAAGATTTATGATCCGTCCTACAATTGTTAGAACTTTGATGCTTGTTCAGAGCTAGCAGCACATGATCTCTGCTCTTTAACACATGGACTTACAAAAAACAATGCTTACAGCTACGCATTTATATTGTCACTTGCAAAAGTATTCACACATCTTTGAGCTTTTTCTATATTCTTTTAGGTTGAAACCACAAACTTGCATTTAGGCAATTTATTGAGATTTTTTTTAGAACTAAACCAATTGATACATACCAAATTGCAAATTTTAAAGAACCCAATTAATGCTTTTCAGTGTAAAGATATAAATCTAAAAAGTGTGGCATGCATTTGCATTTAACCCCCAGGTCAACCTTTCACTGCACTTTCCAGCTTTGCACATCTAGTGTAAAGTATGTCACAGTTCTTCTTTATATAGGTCAAGCTCAGTCATATTGGAGAGAGATTGTCTCTAAAAACGGATTATCGGTTGGAAATAGGTATAACTTTTGACTGCGCTTTTAAAAACACCTGCTTTAATCTTTGCAGTGGATCTTTGCAGCTTCAGATTTACCAAAAGCCTCCCCTGGTCTGGTGGTTTAGGTGGATCAACATATCTTAGTATGTCTGCTGTTGTGCCATACTCTGTCTGTTTTAATTTCACGGACTGTACAAAACTGTATCTCATCACAATGATGCAGCACTTGGTGTCAAACAATCCATGTAATATACCCCAAAGATTGTGGTTGTAACTGTAAAAGTGGAGGATGTATAAATACTTTTCTCAGGAACTCTTATTAGATTATGGGCTAAAAAAAATGCTGAAAGTTTAATTTAGAGCCTTACTTTAAAAGATGACCCTACAATTATGAAACATATAATTACTTATGCTTCCAATGCCTAGCTTTTGTTTTACGCTACATCTATTAAATGTTTAAGAACAAGAGTCTTTACCTCTCTGCAAACACTGTTCTGCACACCTAATCTCTTTTTTTGTTTCTGCTCCACATAGGTTGTGAAAGTGCTGCAAGCCCTCGGCAGCCTTGAGGCCTGGCTGGAGTCTGTGGAGCTTTCCATGAAGGCGTCTGCTTTAGCTGGTGACCCTGAAACAATGAGCAGGGCTGAGAAGGAGAGCTGCCTGCTGGAGAAAGAGGTGGCAGCACGGAGTGTGGAGCTAAATGCTCTGAGGCACGAGGTGGATCGCCTTCACGGATACAGTCATCCCCACACACAGGGATTGGCAGGACGAATGGAGGAGCTGGAGAGAAAGTAGGTTTTTCAAGGAATCAGGTCAGGGTTAGCTGCCGGATTTCTGTCATCATGGAAGAATCATGTTATGGATTTTGAACCCATCAAGGGGATAACTCTGCCAGTTTCTGCCAGTCACAAAATACAATATGTCACCATTTCCAAGACATCACAGGTTCAGATTTGCCATGTTTTTAATTCAACATGGAAGGATTTATTCATAAAACTCATGTAAGACAAATCATGTTACCCTATAAACAAAATATATATAAATACCAACACCTCTCAGCAGCTGAAATTTCATAAAAAATGGCAAAAAAAAAGTTCTCTGCGCTCACATTAACTGACTAATATGACATACATTGGAAAGACAAGCTGCTGTCAAAGAGGCGCGCAGTTTAACCCGATGATGTTCTCAGTCTGTAAACAGAAGGTCAGACTCTGGAAAAGGGAGCACAAAGCTGACCTAGAAAACAAAAACATGGAATGTCTCAGTTTAGGTGTTTCCAGGGTGAAGGTGTTGGATTGGGAAAAGATTACTGCTTTTGAAATCAAAGATACAGTACTGTACATACTTATTTGCACCCTGGTAAAGTTGTGTAAATGCGTTTTAAATATGATTTAATTGCAGAAGCATAATTTCACACAAACATATTGTGAGGAGTCCAATGGTTAAAATATAAGCAATAGGAAAAACTTAAAATGGATTTTTTTCTTTGTTTTCTGTCATTTCTTTCTTTATTTATTCATTTCTGTATTGTATTTTTCATTTGCTCTGATCCTCTAATAATCTTTATCAAACAATTCTGTCATAATCTGCTCTTTACCTGGAGTACAGTGTGTTACAGAGAAACATTTCTCTTGACCTCTCTTCAAAAAAGGAAATACAAGAGAACATATCAGTTTCTTTATATTAGATTTTTTTCTCAACTGAATAAACAGTATTTTATCATTATATAATTATAATTACGAATTTATCAGCTGTAGTACATGTTGTATTAGCTAAATTTATTCTAATTAAAAAGCTATTTCCAATTTATTCTGGGAAAAAACCATCAGTTCATATTTGTCCATGTAAACACTTCCCACATGATGTGCGTTTAAGCCCTTAGGTACAGAATATGCTCATGTGACACAGTATGCATGATACTATAAGCGGTAGCGGAGCATGAAAATGATAATCCTCTATGTCTTTAGTGAAGTTCCCCTCCTGACTGTGGATGAGAGTGTACGTCCACACTGCTGTTAAAACCTTGTTTGTGTGTCACAGGTATCACTGCGTGCTGAGTGCCCTGACCCAACAGAGCTCAGAGCTGCAGGACACACGCATGCTGACTGAGTTTCTGGAGCGTTTGGAGCTGGAGGACAGCCAGGAACTCAATGCAGAACATTATCATTTTGACCAGGTAATAATCAGGATTGTCTTTAGGTTATCTTCAGTCATACTTTTCCTGCTTAATCGTCTCAGTTTTAATAAATTGTGTCTAGCAGCCTCTTCATAGCGACATTTCCTCAGTCCCTACATCGCTTGTACTCCAAAGAAGTGGTGTCAGGGACCAGTTGATTGAAACCATGGGGGACCCAGTGGAAGAACTGCGGGAGGCTGTGGAGATGCTGAACAACACTGTGAGGGAAAGAGGTCGATCACAAAGCCATGATCACGCCGTCCAGAAGCTGCTAAGCAAGGTAAGAGGGTTTATGTTTAATTTGAACAGGCTTTATTGAGAGTTTTTGATTTTTTTGATTTCATCCTAATCTAGTTTAAACATAGTTGAATAATTTTCGGCTCAAAAATCTCTATTAGAGTATTTTTGTGAAACATGTATGACCTTAGCATAAGATTTTGATTAATTTTAATCATGTGGATATCAGGAGAATACGTAACCCTTTTAAAGAAATGTCCAAAAGTGTTTTTACCCCTAATTTGGCCTAGTGGGTAGAGCAGTGCGCTTGTGCTCTGAGAAGGTTGCAAGTACAAGAATTGATCCCCACAGCCTCCAAATGGGTTCCTGAGCAAAACCCTAATCCCACACTGCTCCCTGGGCGCCACACAATGGTAGACCACTGCTCCCCAAGGGGATTGGTCAAATGCAGAGAGTGACTTTCCCCATTGTCGGACAATAATTGGATTTACATTACATATAATAATCTAAACCAGGGGTCTTCAACGTTTTCCAGGCCAAGGACCTCCAAACTGATGGCGAGATGGAGCAGGGACCCCCTAATTATTTATATTGTATGAAATTGTGTTATATTAAACTGGTCCTATAGCCCCTCTATTAAAAATATTAGTATTGTAACGAAAGTGATTTTGCCCTGGGATTATTAAACTATTTCTGATTCTGATTCCTGGTTGATGGGACAGGTGTTGTGAATGAAACGGTGCCCAGCTTGAAAGAGTTCCTGTGTGTCGCTGAATGTGTGCATTAATGACTGAAAGACATCTTCTGCCTCCATTTATCTGTTTACTACAGTGTGTTGAAGTCATGTTAATGTGGATTTAAAGACATTTCAATTAGTAGAAAAAAATAGCAGGAGGAATATAAAAAAAAAAAGCCTAATAAATCAAAACTTTTGCGACCCCCATGCAGTACCTCAAGGACCCCCTAGGGGTCACGGACCCCCTGTTGAAGACCTCTGATCTAAACTATCTTGCAGTAACAGTAAACTTAATTTACTGAGATTTTATTTTATAAACACAAAATACAGCATTAAGTAAAGCAGAGATATATTAAGTGCTGCTTTAAAATGCATGCCATACTTTTGATATTTTTTCATAAAATATTCTAAATATCATGTCACATTTTCCTCCTGCTGTATAATTACTATGGTTTTGGCTAAACAAATGCAATTGCATTAAATTAAAGGACTGTAGATTTGATGTTAAAAAAATATCAATTTGCAAGTTATGTGGCTCTCATCGGTGGATACCTTAAAGTGCAGTATCTTCATGACTGTCTCTCCAGCATGCCAGCCTTGCAGTGCGTGTGGAGGAGTGCTTGTGCAGCAGCAAAGAGCTGAGCCTTGACATCCTGGAGAAGGAGACAGACATGGCCGTGCAGTGCGAGCCAGAGCACAGCGGCTTCGAGCCTCTGCAGGACAGACTAGACCACCTGGAGGTGAGAAGGATGATGTGTGCTTACGTTATTTAGTTCTGATGAAAATAAATAAATAATGCTCATAAAACTAAATTATTGTTGGACCAAAACAAAATTAGCTCAACTTTTTTTCCTGAAAGCAAAAAGATCCCTGCTTGCATCACTTTGTGCTATGTTTAGTTTCTCCTATCAGCTGCAAACCATATTGTCCACACGAATATACGCTGAGCGTGCAAAGATTTATTAAAAACACTGCATTTATTTGTTTTCTCTCCAGTGAGTCATCGTTCTGTTAACTCTAAAAGTGTGTTGAGTGTATGTTTTGGGGAGTAAATCTGGTCGGTTGTGCAGGGGTTCAGACGGGGATGGTAAAGTTTTTGCGTGACTCATTGGTTGGCCGGCGCTGTGTTTATCACACACTCAAAACAAACACACATGCATTCAGCTGTCAGGAATTGATTTGATTGAAGAGCAGAAATGACCTAATCTGCCAAACAGAAATAACTGTTGCATCAGCAGACAGGCATGCAACAACCCAGGGTTGGTGAAGCTTACTGTAGCTGAGAAACTTCATCTAGCATTGCTCCCAGAAAGCCCTGAACACAAATTATTTCTTTGTCGTCACAGAAAGGAGGAAAAAAAGGAGTCAATACTGCAGCTTGTTATAACTTGGAGGCCCATATGGTTTACATATGGGCCTCTAATAGAATAATATGCATAAGGCTTTGAAGATGAGGTCATAGTCGGAGGGACAATCATTTCAGGCTGTTTAAACGATTGATACGGGCTTATAGATTCTTGCTGTGATTATCTGCAGATTGAGTATGAAATCATCAGGGAGGAAGTAAAGGAGATGGAGAAGGAGGCTTTTCATCTAAAGGAGCTGTGTTTAGAGAAAGCGCCCGTTTTCGAGGTGAAGATCCATTCTACGCTGCAGGCCTGGAGCGAGCTGGGGAAGAGCGTGATGGAGAACAGATCGCGTCTCCAGGAGTTTGTGGAGCTCCGGAGCTTCTTCAGAAGCTACCTCGCCCTGATGTAAGCAGGATGTCAAGATGTTTTTTTCTTCCTATTATTTCTAATCCTCTTTTTGGGGCCTTTTGCTTATTTAAATCCCTTTAAGAGAAAGAACAGGATGTTCTCACTGTTAAAAACATGCTCCAGAGGGGAACATGAAATTTAAGGATAAATCAGGTTTCTTGGGTTTGACGGACCAATGAATGTGTTTTCTATCAGGCTCTGTTTATTCTCATATTTATAACTGTTCCTTGTCTCCTAACACCATCTCCTTTTCTTACACTTCCCTCCTAACAGCTCGTGGACTGAAGACACTAGGTCGTGCATTTTCTCAGACACTGCCCTGCACCTCAGGAGAGAAGGACAGCGGCCACTGGTAGCAGAACTAGATGTTCAAATAGAAAAAAAGTTTAAGGAGTTTGACGCGCTGGCTACCAAAGCAAAGACTCTTTTAGACTCAGAACACCACCTCACACAGATGGTGAGCAGATATACAAGCCACTCACTTAAATAGTCCATATAGAGTAAATGATGTCAGTCTGACTGTAACCTGGACATGTGCTGCAGGTGAAAGAACGCATGGAGGAACTGAGGAGCATGCTGGGATGGATCTCAGTGCACTGGAGAGCACAGAAACAACAGAGATTTCACCAACACAACAGAGAGGAACCTTCGAGTGACAACATTTACTCTGAGGCGACCGTGTGGAACTCAATTAAAGAGGTGAATTAGCACTTTGGGATGGATTTATGCACATAAAGGCAAAAGTGTCTCCTTCGTATTTATTGTTTAACACAAACAACTCAAAATATTCATGATCAATAAAGGCTTAAAACAAGGCATCGTGTAATTTAAGAAATGTCCCTAATCAAATATACTGGAATCAAACAGCTGAATTACCTCCTGTGGGTCTTGCTGAGGATTCAGTTATGAGATTCAAACAGGTGAAGGAGAGTTTGAGATCGTAATATATATAGAATAAATGGATTCTGCAAGATATTTGTCCTGTTATAAGAGAAAAGTGAAAATAAAAGAAGAAGATTAAGTTCTTTGAAGTGCTGAAATTAAGTAAATATATTGTTAAAACACTTTACAGTAAAGCATTTTATTGTTTATGTTTTAACACTTCACTCTTATGTTATTCCTATACATTTTTCTAAGGACCACATTGTGCAATTATTTTTTTCTATAATCCTTTTGCTGCTGTAAGCACCAGAATTTCCCCATTGTGGAACAATAAAGGGATTTTCTATCCTATTCTGTTCTAAAAGTATTTCTAGTGGTTCCTCATTGGTTGCTACATATGAATCATAAACTTCGTGCAGAGCTATGATATACAGAAATTTCTTTGAAATAATTTTAAATACTAGTTGGTGTCTTATTGTGGAGCATCAGATGGCAAACAAAACATGTCCACTAATTATGAGATGTTACATTAGAGTGATTTTTTTTTTCCCATCTCAAACAACTTGCGATATAATATGGAAAGATTGGGAAATTCAAGACAGGGAATGTACTGAGAAATTGAGAAAAATTTTCCATTTTGCATCAGGAACCATGTCTGTTGTGCCCCAGTTAGTCTGAGTACTACTTGATTAAAACGTACCTTAATCTTCATCATCATTAAAGCTTGTTTTTAGTGTCCGTTAAAAACATATGAGAACCTGCACCATAGCAAAGAGAATCAAAAGAAGGAGGAGAAACTCTGGGACTTGTTTAGGAGTTAAATGGCTAGCTACCTTTTTTGTCAAAACTTGAAAATGTCCCAAACTCCCAAAGTATTAGAATAGCTGTAATTGTAATGGTAGTCTTTGTTAGAACATTGAACACATATAAATACTACTCAGGTAGGACATCTAGAGGTCAATAAAACAAGGACTAATTATTTATTTTGTAAAAATAATAATGTTTATTGTAGAAAATACCATACTCATTTCATGAGCGACTGTGACCTTTAAAATTTTTTAACTATTATCATTTAGGAAATTGTGTTGTTACAGAAGAAGTGTCCCTGTGCCATAAAACATACATATAGTTTATAACAAAATCTATTCAAACACACTATCTATTCAAACGTCTCACAATAAAGGCTAAAGCATATAAGTGGGGACAAATCTGTCTGGAAATGCTCTACTATTTTTTTTTTACTCTCTGTATCAGTCTTATTTCATTTTTATTTGAAATCAGTACCATATACTTTATACATGTTTTATGAGAGGTCAGAAAAGTAATTTATACCCTACATGTTGCATGGGAGGAGACAGAAGCCAGCTCCTTCCTGTGACAGTCTAATACAGGCATGTATTGTTATCTGACAGAATGGAAAGTTAATATCTTCACCTTGAATTGTGTAATTAATGTGATAAAATTAGATTTAGGATTTTTATTTTCCTTCTGTATTCATTTACACACATTCACACTTTAATGGTATCAGAACATAATGATGATGTGCATGTTGCCAGATTAAGTCAGCTCCATTTTCACACATCATGCATGATTGTTTCTTCCTTTCTTTGAATTAAAACAAAAGAAAGCTTCCTCTGTTAACCTTTGCAAGTTCATATTTCAATTACAGACACAGACAAACAGACAGCTTCATAGACTGGACTGACTCCCTGACATCTTGACCACCTCTCTGTCTTTGCACCTTCTCATATGACAAAGAACACAGAACAAAACAAACACTGACATGAGGGGTGGCATGGGAAAAGAGACATCCAAAACAATTGCAAACCCAGAAGATTTTGAAGGTGGAAACGATCACTGAGGAGTTTGAAATCCTCCCTAACCCATCTGAGACTTTTAGGAGCGGTTAGGTGTTTTCAAAGCACCCAAAGCTGTTATGAAACTATGGCTTTTCTGTCTGTTCTTCTCAGTCAGAGTATAAACCTCTCAAAGGTTTGCAATTCAGTATAAAATACAGAAATTCAAGTCGGAAAAAGACTAAACTAAAGCCAAGTTTACTTCAAACAGTATAAATATTTTGTCCATCTTTAACTTCCAATACAGAGTTTGGTTCCTGAGCTTGAAGACCTCCAAGAGTCGCACTTCATCAAGACCTCTGAGGACACAACAAAAACAGCTGAAAGTAATGAAGAGATTGAAGGCAAGCAGTCAGAGGATGACTATGAAATCATGAACAGGATCAGCCCACAAGGCGACTCTCCTAAAGCAAACATGACGGCGGTGAAGGAGAGCAGCACCCCACCTGCTAGCAGCGCGGTAAACCTCATCCTTAGCTTTGGGAACACTGGGGACAGCCAGGTGCAGGTGCTCGACCTGCCTGCTGTGACGGATGAGATATTAAAGGAGACCTCTGAGCCTGTGCACAGGGTGAGGAGCGCTCAGCTCAACACATCATCCAACACCACTTACTGTACACATTATCTGTTTAAAGAGAAAAAGTCTGATGTTCTCAGGCTGGAATGATCACTTCTCTACCACAACACTTCATGGGATCTCCCTCACTCACTGTGAGGCAGGCCCTTCCTCTTGTTTGGCATTCACAACTTTATATTTCCCCTCATTCTCTCCCTCAGCCCTCTCTGCCTCAGTCTTCTGCCTGTAAAAAGCTTTGGAGGCGCTGCCAGGGGATTTTGGAAAATACTTTCAGTAGTTTAAAGCGAAAGAGAAAGATTTATCGGCAGAGCGCAGATGAGGTAATTTGCGCAGTGTGAAATGGGATTGCATGCAACGTCTCCAAGTGTGCTGAGACTGCATGCAGTGTGCAGCTGTTTCCTGAGGGTAGCATGTTTTTTTCCTAACCGGGTAGATGGTACAAATCTTCTAAGTCATATTGTTTATGCATTCTTTGTAAGTCAAATACATAAAACAAGAGGACAGGCAAACGTAAAGTATTGACACAGTTTTTCACAGTAACTGTAGCAAGGTAGTTCATTTTATTTTTATACCTGCTGTTTTTAAAACATTAGGGAGCGTATTTGGTTAGAATAATTAATTTTTTGTCTTTTAAATAAAAAGCAACATTCCAAATTAGTAAAATCAAGCTTCTTTTTTTAAAGAAATAATTAACTGCTACAAAACATTGCATCTTCTACTACCCTAAACCCTAACTTTGTGTCTATTTCTTCAGTTTGAGATCATTTTAAAAGCACCTTTAAGGAAAAGCAGGTAAAATAATGATAAAAAAAAAAAGAAACTTAACTTTAGTGTTTTTAGATGTTTATAAAGTATTTTAATAGTAAATCTCCCATGTGTTTTACTGAGAAATAATTAGAGGTGATGCCAAGTATCTATAATTCGATTGTCGACCTTTCCTTTGAATGATTTCAGCATTTTACCTGCTTCTGCTTCTTCCAACTTGAGGCCCAAATCCTCACTGATGATGACTTAGTTTGCTTTGTTAGGTTTCTGAGGACAATAACATTTCAGTGGGATTAATATGCATTATGTTCTGACAAGGGAGTCGAAAATGTCAATGTTCAGGGCCCTTACTTAAAGAATAGAAAACTGAAAGTAGCTCCAGGTAAAGTGATTTTAAGAAAAGTGTATAATTTCTGTATCTAATTTTGCCTTGGTCAGATGAAGATTATTCACTAAGCACCTTAGACCTTAAACAGCTCCTAAAGTAAGAAATATATATAGAGCACTGAGGAGAACTTTTGGTGAGCCTAAGTGTGTCAATAAATAGTGGAATAAATGAGCTCCTTTAACAATCATACAACTGTTAACATAGGGATCAGATAAATTCATCATTCTTTACGGGGGGAAATAAAATGGTCAAAGCAGCCAGGCAGGTTAAAGGTGCACCTCTGGAATCTGGAATTATGGAGGAGAAATTGAAAATGAAAATAATAATTACAAAAAACAATTTATTAAAAAATAATCATGAATAAAAATTGGAGGAATGTACAAAAAATAATGCACAGAATAATTTAGGTGTGCTTTACAGACTCAAAGATGCTCTCAAACATAGAAATTCTAAAAGGATTAGAAATGGTTGCTGAAAAAAAATATAGGCTACAATAATAATAGTGTTGCACCGATACCGATACCAGTATTGGTCGGGGCGCCGATCCAGCGCTAAAATGGTGGTATTGGTATTTCTGAGTACCAACAAATAGGGCACTGATACCATTTGAGAGCCAAACGTTTATTCAACTATTGTCACCCGTTCCAAGTAGACAATAAAAAGTTCTACTGGATTCACTTTGTGTTATACTTTTTCCTGCTTCACAAAGGTAGGCAGCAGCTTGACAAAGCCATGATGGAATTTATTTTACATCCAAGGATTATGCAGTTGTTCATATATATACCGTACACATCATCAATGTCAAACAGAGGTTATGGGTATACTGCAAAAAAATTTAATCCATCCATCCATCCATCCATCCATTATCTGCACTGGAAAAAATTGAAATCTAGATTTTTTCTTTAAATAAGTGCATTTGTTCTTGAATTGAGGAGGTAAAAGAGACATTTTGCCAATGGAACAAGACAATTTAGATTTAAAATAAGAAAACACAATTACATTGTTTTATTTCAAGTGCATATTATCTAATTGTCTTATTTTAAGAGTAAAAATACTCATTCCATTGGCAAACTATCTAATTTACCTACTTAAAGTAAGGATAAATGCACTTCATTTAAGAAATTCTTACTTATTTCTAGATCCCAATTGGGGTCGTAGGGGTGCTGGTGCCTATCTCCAGCAGTCAATGGGCGAGAGGCGGGGTACACCCTGAACAGGTCGCCAGTCCATCGCAAAATTTAAATCTTAATAAGTAATTTTTTCTTAAAAATAAGTGCATTTTTTGTTGGATTAAGGAGGTAAGTGAGACACTTTGCCAATGGAACAAGACAATTAACATTTAAAATAAGTAAAAACAATTGCAATGTCTTATTTTAAGTGCATTTTATCTAATTATCTTATTTTAAGAGTAAAATTCTTATTCCATTGGCAAATCCTCTTACTTACCTACTGAAATTAAGGGTAAATACACTTAATTTAAGTAATCTTTACTTATTTGCAGTGTATGGTATTGGTATCGGCCAATACTGCACAGCCAGGTATAGAGTATCGGTATCGGGGCCAAAAAATGGCAGCGGCACAACTATTAATTAATACACACTGTAGAGAACAGAAATTACAACAATATACTCCACATATACATAGAGGTAAGATGTAAATGAGGTCAATATGTATTTGCTGTGTTATACATGATGTCAGCAGCCATAAGTTCTATTGTGTGCAGACCCCTCCTCTTTAGCTTTATATTGCAGCATGTACTCATGTACTCTACTCACATTTAAGACTGCTCTGAAAAGCAGATTGAAAGAAGAAAAATGCTTCCAAGTCCGCCTCTTTGATTGCATCGTTCAATACCTCTGTGTTCTGTTCATTCCCAAGACCTGTACCAATACAAAACCATGCTTTTTTGTAGATTTGAGTTTTCTTGACCCTTATTTCTTCATTCTGTTGTTGTTTTGATGTATCAATCTGCTTTATCCTGCTTCCCAATATACCACAATACACCAAATACTGGGTGTTCATGCAGCAATGATTGCCAACAATGGATTGCCTCCTCAGCATGCAGTCGACTTCTGCAAGGTCCTGCTAATGATCTTTTATTTTAAACTAAGGCCTCACGACTCACTGTCCAGCATGGTTTAGGTATTTCTCTTCCCACAAACACATGATTCAAATAAATGCACTCTAAATGCATTTGATGCAGGTGTGCTAGAGCAGAGAAACATCTAAAACATGCAGGACAGCTGTTCCTGAGGACCCAGTTTAAAAAACCACTAATGTAATGATTGAGGTGTTTCAAACAATATATACGTCACAAGTAAATCAGCCTTTAAGGATTTTATGTGACAAAAATGGTTTCGTTGTTGCCTGAATTTAATGGCCAAAGGAGGTTTATAAATTTGCTGCCATTCCTGAACATGAACTTCATTGGTTGAAACCTAATTTGTTTATATTGATTATTTTTGCTGGACCTTCTAGGCCAGGGTATCATGACCCTTTCTTCACGGCACTTGAAGGTCTTACTGTAAAGTTATTAAGTTAGCAATTTATTTGGGGTACCCTGCAAAAACGATCTATAAATAAGTAAAAATTTCTTAAAGGCACACTATGCAACATTTTTCAGTTAATTAATGTGTTCCATAACGTTTTGGATGATTAAATGAGTCATTTCAGGTTGAACAAAGGTATTCTAGGCCGCCCTGGTGGTCTGTGGGGGAAATACTGCACTTGCAATTGCAGGAGCACCGACCCGCACCCACAGGCTCAGAAGTCTCGTGAGAGTCAGTCTTGCTTTACGGCCGAGAACTGCTACACCCCCCAGTTAAAAGCATTCTCGTTGCTAGCACAGTGGCGATCCTTGTGCAGTTATGCTACGTTCACGCAGCAAAAGCAGCAAAATCGGGTCTGCTGCTTCATTTTTGCTGCTTGAACCAGTTAGTTTTTTTTATTTTTAGAATAAGATAATTAGATAATATTCATTTGAAATAAGACAATGCAATTGTTTTTTCTTACTTTAAATGTTCTGTCTTTTTCCATTGGCAACGTGTCTCACTTACCTCCTCAATTCAACATAAAATGCACTAATTCTAAGAAAAAAATACTTATTTAGATTTAAATTTTTTGCAGTGTAAGTAATGCTACCATGTCTTTCTAGCCTCTTTGATGCAATCTTATGACGTCTCGACAAGGTTTCCTTGAGTATAACCATGATGAATAAGATAAATTAGTTTTTTTGTTCCTACTCCCTTTTGAGAATCCACTCTGCTCCTGTAATTCAAACAGAATGACAGGAAAATTGCACCTTTTGTCGTTAACACTTCCACCTGAAATTATGCCAGTAGCTCAACTTCCCACTAAAGCCCTCAATATTTTAATATTTTGTAATAAAACTTTCATTAACCTGGCAATTAACTGCATTTTATCCAGAATCCCATCATAGATATCTTGCCCTAACCAGTTTAATCCTGAAGAGCAAATATCCTGCAACGTTTAGATGCATCCCTTCTCCACTGATGAAGTATTACCAGATATTTGCAGAATAACTGAAAGCTGAGGAGAGAATTCAGTCATTTGGCTCTTGGAGCAGGGGTAGTATCTTTGAATGTAAGCTGGGCATCCCTAACGTCAGGACAAAAAAGAAGTAAAGTTTGAAAAAAAAAAAAATCACATAATCATAAAACATATTGGACATAACTGTGGATCTGTCTTCATGCTAATCCTTTGATGGTCTTTTCAGCTTGTCTTTTATAAGTTGAAATTAGTGGGTAAACTGTCAGCTGGCGGGTTGGTGTCTCTAAGCAAACTTTTGGTTTTCTTCTTATTATTTTTTTTTCTATACTTGTTAAGGCTAGCTTTAAACCTGAGAAGTGGTGATGACAGGAACAAGAAGTGAGTGAAGAGGAAGAAAAGCACTGGCAGGTTTCTCTCCTATTGGGAATGTTGACAGAAACTCTCCTGTCTTTGTTGAGCCTGGTGTAAATCTGTCCATGTTTGACTCTTACCCTGCTCTGGCATGATTGTGTGAAATGAGTGACCTCATCTTTAGTTACAATAAAAACGCTGCTCCAAAATGGCTCCCAGTAGGAGTGTGTCCCACATGCCGGCCACGAGACAAGCGAACTGGTGCTGAACCTTTCAGAAAGGCCCCAGACTCTGCCTCATGATTTATATTCTTGAGCTTATGCAGCTACAACAGATTAGTCACAGAGTTGAAAGGTCAGGATATTACAGCTGTGTATGACGACATGTGCAGACACATATGATATTGATTAAATCCTGTGAGTCTGTCGCTGGAAACATGTTTTCATTTCTTTTTGTTCTGTCATATGTTTTTTTCATACAATTCATGTCTCTGCTTCACAAGAATTTCTTAATCCATCTTTTTATGTGTTCCATTTTTCAGTAGTTCTCAGCTTTTGCCCGTCTTTATCCCACCTCAGCCTGCAGAGGTTTCACTGTGTCCTCCAAAACTTCTCATACCACTATATTTTTCACACCTTGTCACTTTAGAACAGAAATCCTCCATGCATTTTATAGTGATGTTATGTAACAGTAGAAAATTATGAATGAAGAGTATTTTGAGCACTTTAAATGCGCCGTGGCTGTGCTTTGATCTAAAGCATCTTTTTGTAGCTCTGTTTGTTTGTTGTCATGCTGAGAGATAAACTCACATCTGAGGCTTTTTTTTCAGGCTCCATCAGATGTTACCCCAGATTTGTCTTTATTGCAGAATACCCACCTATTCTGGTTTTTAACTGTTAACCTTTCATCCTACAGTATCTGCATTTTCTTTTCAACATAACGTAAAGTCAAAGAAGTGACACAGTATCTCTGTCCAAACGTCCGCCCTAACCCCCTGAATCCCTTAATCACTATATAGAGCAGGAACTATAGTGGACTTTATTGTGAACTCAGTTAACTGACCGTTCGGACAGATGATCACTACTTTTTGCTCCCCATTAATCACGTAACTCCGCCTCCCTGCACGGTGCATGCGCCATCTTTGTTATTTACCACCGCCACAGCAAATCGCAAAGCTCTCACAATGCTCGTCTAGTGACCATGGATGATCACTTTTCAATGTGTTTTGTGCGAAATTTCGAGTCCACTACTTTTTCCTCCACTAGACGATCAGACACAGACACTCATCTAAAATGGCGTAACCACTATATAGTGCCCTAGGTAATGATTAGGGTGTATGTTCGGACGCAGCCACTGTCCTTTTGGTTCTCTGCTTTCACACACCTGAATCAAATAGCTAAATTACATCATCAAGGACTAAGTCTGAATTTGGAAAATAAAGCAGGACACCTAAGCCAAAGCAGAAATGTGTCATCATTCACCATGCATTGGGATCTCCCAAAGTTCCTGTCTAAGAACACTTAGGCTGTGTCCAAAAATCCACCCTATAAACCCTACACTGGAAAAGAATCTAGTCTAGATAAGTCATTTTTTTCTTAAAATAAGTGCATTTGTTCTTGGATTGGGGAGGTAAAAGAGACATTTTGCCAATGGAACAAGACAATTTACACTTAAAATAAGAAAACACAATTGCATTGTCTTATTTCAAGTGCATATTATCTAATTATCTTATTTTGAGAGTAAAAATACTCATTCCATTTGCAAAGTATCTCATTTACCTACTCAAATTAAGGTCAGATACAAATAATTTAAGAAATTTTTACTTATTTCTAGATTGTTTTTCCAGTGTAAATCCCTCAATCACTAAATAGAGCGGAGACTACTTATATAGTGTACTTTACAGTGAATTCAGTTAGCTGACCATTCAGACAAATAACTACTACTTTTTGCTCCACAATGGTCAATTAACTCCACCTCCACAGTGCCCGCGGTATCTTTGTTAGTAGTCATCGCTGTTGTGTAGCAACAGCCTTTGGCAACAGCTGGCTGTTGTGACAGCAGGTCCCATAATGCTTTGCGCAGAGAGCTCTCCGCACAAAGCATTCCGGGATATATCTGCTCGTCTAGTGACCATGGATGATCACTACTTTTCAAGGTGTATTGTGGGAAATTTGCAGTACACTACTTTTCATCCAGTAGACCTTCACACACTCATTTAAAAGGGCGTAATCACTATATAGTGCCCTATATAGTGATTAGGGTGGAAATTCGGACACAGCCCTTACCATGCAAATTACTCCCACAATTCTTTGCATGACAAGAGGTATAGACTCAGCCCATCTTATGGACTTTAAAAATAGTACTTTACTTCTTCCCATGTACTCTATCTGACACCCTCAATTCACCCCAACGATTTTGTAATGGAGAGCTTTACATTTATGTAACTTGTGCTTTTTTTCTGAGGGCTGTTGTAACGGATTTGACTAGCGTCATCCGTGTGTGTTTCTGTTGCATAATGACATCCATAAGGGTTAAAGCTGTCCGGACTGAGCATAGCAGTCTGAAGTTATTTTCCTAGTTACGGTAGTGATCTTACTGGTGAACTCATAAAAGGTGAATGTAATATAAGCTAGGAGCTACAATTTCCCCAATTCTGAATCAGCCAAGTTCTCCAAAGTCCTGCTAATGGAACGGTTATTTGACTAATGTGTGTTGAAGCAGAGACACATTTAAAAGGGGCCAGACTGAAGGAACCCAAAAGTGAACAAAAATGTTTGAATTTCGTCCAACCAGCAAGTTTCTCCTTCATGATCAAAGTTAAAACACAGAGATTACATAATCTCCCTTTATGATTCAAAACACCAATGATATAGGCCATGCACAACAAAAGGCTATTTGATCTGCATCTGACTTGGAATGAGTGCAGGAGGTTGGACGATGCATTGCTCCAAATAGAGACTTTAGTGCGAGCGAACAGAATTGAAAAAAAAAACTCCTGGATAGGTATTGAAACATAGCTAAAAAAATGAGCAAAAGTCCGGGTTCCTTCCAATTTCAGCGTGCTTGTCGTTAAAACACAGAGGTGATCAAGCGTTAGCTTAGGCCGCCTTATACCTGTGTTGCTGTATAGATTATTTTCCTTGGTCATTGACAGATTTACCACGAGAATAAACTGTCTATGTATTTGTATTTTTTCTTTTTTCTTTTTTTTTTTTTTTTCTTTTTGGCTAATTCAATGTTGCATGTGAGATTGTGAAGTACTCTCTGGTCAACTGTTGTTTGAAAATATTTTGTGCTTTTAAATTTGACATTCATATTGATCAGTGCATCTTTGTGTTACTGTGGTGTGGTGGCTTCTCTGGTTAATGATATCCTTCTTGGCCAGTCATTTTTAGGTAAAGTTTTCTTTATAACCTAACCCCACTAAAAAGTTCCTCACAGCTTTATCCCGGCTGTGTATCTTGACCATCAAGAAGCTGTGGCTTGTTGATTGTTTTCTTTGACAAAACCACTGAGACCTTCACAGAATAGCTGTTTTTTCTACAGAGATTTTGTCTAACTACTAGTTTAATGACTTTAGATGGCAAGTGGCTGCCTTTTTTCTTTTGCAAGAAACTGTAGGAAGCTTCAGTAAAACCCACGTAGAGTCTCATGCATTTAAAACATTTCTATTTTTTCACAGGTAAGTGCCTACCTGCACGTAAAGAACTGCAGCCTGGCAGCAGCCCCAGTGTACGAGAGTATAACTCTCCCCCGCCAAAAGAGCCGTTCTGCAACCTCTGACTCCCCTACTTTATGCCCATCCTCCTCATCCTTCTCCTCACAATCTTCCTCTGTGTCCGAACCACAAACGGCAAATGTCAGCTTCCACCCTTCAAGGAGGAGCAGTGGCAGCGCCATCTTTTGCAGCCTCAAAAGGATGGGGAAGAAGAGGAAAAGGAAGCGAGACGAGCGCAGACACACCATACAGAGAATTATGGGCGTGGATGAGCAAGTCAGCGGGCTGCACCAGGATGACTCTGAGACAGTCACATATGACACTCAAACATGGCCGCTGAAGGAAGGTCAGAGAAAGAAGAGTTTACAGAAGAACACAAATGTTGGAGATGCTGTGGCCTACATGAAAAATCCTCTGCTGAAAGACATTGATTCAGAGTGTTCAGGAGAACACAGCATTACTCCTTATGCTGTCTCATCAGGACCAAGCAATTCTCCCTCAGAGGGTCCAGGGAGAAACCAGTGCAGAGTACTCAGTTTGGGCTCCGTGTTGAGCTTCGATCTGCCGAAGGACCTGACCCTCATCCCTGGCATTCAGGACATCATCACTATCGCCCCGCCGGAGTCGAAAACAGCAGGTGGGACAGATGCAGATCCTCTCTCTCAGCGAAACACCATTCTAAGCTCCTTCAAACAGACCCATGTCGTGTCGACCGTCACAGGAAGCTCTGCTGAAATCGGCTCCTCTGAAACCCAGCAGTCAGCAAAGGATCTCCCTGATGAAAAGAATTTACAACCTTCCCTGGAAGACCCTGTGGTAACATATGATGACACGGCTAGAATAAATTTCAGTCAACATGAAAGTACAGAGGAGACAGATCAAAGCTCCACTGACTTGAAATATAGTATAAATGAGATTAATAAGCCCTCAAAGCTGCGTATTTACACAAATGAACTCAATAACTGCACTTCAGTCCCTCATAAACATGAGTGTGTCAGTGTCCATACTCTAATTCGGGACCTGAACGGACACCAGTATCATAAATGCACCAGTTCCCAGTGTGAGCATGTAACCAGCCCCCACATGAAGTCAAACCAAGCTTCTCATGTGAGACTCAATCTAAAGTCTACAATGAGTGTCAGTGTTCGGCAGGACTCTGTAGATTCTGGCATCTCCACCTCCAGCAGTTTCAAGCTTAGCACCGACACTCCATGTCCAGATCAGTCGTTGCCCAAGGGAGTGGTGGGAAAGATTATTTCTCTTGAGGTGGGGGGTATAGGATCAGCTAAAACAAGAGAAAACTCTGCAGCATCTTTAAGTCCATCCTCGGACTCTGTAGAGTTAAACAAGGAGCCGCTCCACGTCGACCACCAGCAGTTTGAGGAGGAAGAAGAAGAACTGGAGGACATCTGGAACCAGAATACAAACTACAGGCAGAGCATCTGCTCAGACATCATGTACCAGCCCAACCAGGAGCCCCTCACAGACCAAAGCAAAGAAGGGGTTTCCAGCTCCCCCTCTGCCACAAACCCACCTGTTCTCTACAGAAACCTGGTCACCGCCTCAGCACCAAACCTCCTCATAGCCGAGTTCAAACTCCCCCCAAACATCCAGAACTGTCCAGGTTATGAGGAGTGGCAAAATTCAAAAGATCACCTACCCCCTCTTGCCACAGGAGACAGGAAGTCCTGGGCAGCTTTTCCTAACAGGGAACCAGTCAGCAAGACTGCAGTGATGGTGAACGAGACAGCGTCTGACCCAGTGAAGCTTCCAGAAGTTGGCAACAATCCCAGATACGTTTATCAATACAGAGAGGAGGATGAGGGGGAGCAACAGGAGGAGGTTGATGAGCTGACCAGTTGTTTACAGGTAAGATTGTTGTTTAAACTATAGTAAAGGCACCACCCTAAGGCTGTACAATGATTTTAGAAGACACTTGGTCCTCAGATGTTCAAATCTATATGTCTCTGCAAAAATAGTGATTTAAGTCAAATGTAATTAGATTTCCAGTTAAATATCTTTTTTTTGTTTATTTATCCTTTATTTAACCAGGTAATACCCATTGAGATTAAAAATCTCTTTTGCAAGGGAGACCTGGCCAAGATAGGCATCAAAATTACATCACATCATTACATACATACAAAGACACACACATAAAAGCCAAATATGCACTTAAATCTTACAGCCATCTACGTTGGGTCATGTCAATCTGAAACGCAAGGGTCTGTTTTAACACAAAATTAAAGAATGTGGTAGATCATTACAAAAATTGTCCAACTTTGTTTTTTAATCAATTAAATTACCAGCGTAACTCTGAGCTTTTTGTTATGGTGCCAGTCACATCCATAAGGACAGCTGGTAAAGAAATGTTGAACGGCTTCTAATCAAATTACCCTTTTATTGCAGCAATTTATTCTTATTCTCTTCTGTAGAGAACAATATTAAATCTTATTTGTGCCAATTTAGTCAGAGGACAGAAAAAAATCCTAAAGCCCACTGCTGTCATTAAGCCATAAACAAGAAAGAAAAAAAATGGTCATTTTAGGCGTTTTATTAAATATATGAATCAGGAAATTGTCTATATACCAAACTGAACAATTTTTGTTCTCTACTTCAAAAAACACTTTGGAAATGGAAAATTTTAAATGGAAAAATTTCATTAAAAAGTCAATATCTAACATGGATGCATAAAAACCTCATTTTATATCACGCTAAAATTCAGTTTAAAGTAACAGATTATAATTAAAAATGTCTCTGGACCTTTACTGGTTGATGATTTTCTTTATTCGGATTGCGCTGATTTTTTGTTGGAGATAATCCTGGTATTACATAGTCTGTGATGCCATCCAGTGACTTTGAAAGAGAAACAAACCCACAGCAACACATACCTTACACTGTGCTTAACAGTAAAGATGAGATTCCATTTAGATAGGGTCAAATGACTTTTCTTTAAAGCCAGACGGTGCTGCTTTTTCCTGCCATTCTCCATCAGGGTGTTATAAATTGGGCAAACATAAATAATCTTGTTTCCACAACTCCTGACTGTGTACAATTCTCTTCTTGAATAGAAACAGTCAACGAATCGACTTTCAGTCCATATGGGTTTGAATGGAGCCCGTCAGCAAAGTCTTGAAGATCCAGTAAAGCTGCAAGAAGAGCAATTAGCCACAGGAGGGCGCTGTTTCATCCTTGTAAGACTGAAACCTTTTTTTTTTTTTTTTTTTCAGAAATATTGCTTTTTGTTGGCTGATTTTAGTATGAATTTGTTTTTTTTTTATCTCAATCCTCTGTAGAGTGGAAAACCAGATCTTCAGTCTATGGAAGGAACCCTGGAGAGGAAGAATAAACTGCAGCTGGGAGGAAAGAAAGTAAGGAATGCTTAGGCCTACACAGTCAGCAGATGTAAAGCCTTCAGTCAGCAGCATGTGGTCTTATCTTATTTTCCCAGGCTGCCTCCAGAGGCTGGAACTCTTACCATGCAGTCCTGTACAGACAAACCTTGTGCTTCTTCCAGGACAGAAAGGAGACGCTGCGCGTAAGCAGAAGGAATTAAACTGTAATATCTGTTGAGCAGTTAGAATATGGTGTCTAATCATGAGTTTGTGCTGCAGAGCTCTGCATGTGGACTACCACTGAACCTAATAGGAGCTGAGTGTTCCCCTGCCCCAGACTACACCAAAAAACCCAACTGCTTTCGACTACGGTAATTCACAACACTGTACAACATTTCTAAATCAGATGTATTGTTGCTAATTTGTCTTTGTCTCCTTCGATTATGGTCTTCAGGCTCCGTGATGGGTCTGAGTATCTGTTTAATACCGCCTCACGCTTTATGATGAAGAAGTGGATCATGAAAATACAAGCAAGCACAGGTAAATGTGATTATATTTTATTATAATGTATACTAATTTCAAGTGAGCAAATCAAAGCTCAGCAGTTTCTGTACTGAATAAATGTTCCACTGATGGGATCTATTTCTTCTGTCTTGTCAAAGGTCAATGTGAGTTTGTGTCTTCCCCAACAAATGATCTTGGTGATCAAGGCCTGCCCGTCTCTTTGTAAGACAATAATCTAATTACTTATATCAAAACATTTACATTTCGTACATAATTGTGCATATTTAAAGCGTACTGTTACCCATCCCTGTCTTTAGATCTCTGGATCAGGGCAGCGGTCAGTGCCCTCCCCAGCACAAGGCCACACACACATTCCCAAGATTGAGAAAACAAAGCAGTGATGAAACCAAAGAAATATTCATCTTTGCTAGAGATCAGGGTCACATGCTCCAGACCCTAAGAGAGGATGAGAAGTCGAAGGTCTTATCATTGGATCCAGGCTGCTATGGTGAGAGAGAGAGGCTGTTTGCTTAACAGTATTAATGCATTCAGAGGGTATGAGCTCACCCTGTAGCCAAGCGATAAGAACAAATAACAGCTGGAATAAAATGTTGCAGGTATACAAGGCACCACTAGGTGGGGCTAAGGCATTATCTTATTCCACATTAAACTATTGTAGTGTCCCATAACAGCACAGAGGGCAGTTATATTTTCACAGCATATGTTTAATCTGTTCTTACTAAGCTTTTCTTGTTTTCATTTGACCCTTTAGGTGATGAAGAATGTGGCTTAACTCAGACAGTGACTCACAGACTTTCTGCAGAGACCAAATCTCCTTCCTCCTCTCACTCCCCTGCATCCAGCAGTCAGAACTGGCTCAGCAGCAAGCACCGCTCCCACTCATTTACATCAGGTTAGTTTGCAACACTTTACATCATATTTTCATCCTGATCCAGGTTACAATTCATTTCTTTATTTTTCTTTTAATGAAATTTCAGCAACTTATCAGAGGATTAACCCCATACTGCCGTCTCCTGGAGCAGAAGGAGTGGATAAAGGATCCAACTACTGTGTGACTTTGGTTGTTGGAGGCAGTTCAACAGAAAATGCATCAGTAAGCAGAAGTCTGGAGCCTTCAGTTCTGCCTCTACCTTCATGGCAGCCAGACGTGTATAAGGACTCCACTCTGAAAAACTACTCCAGCCTCCCAAGACCTCGCAACAAATCCGTCTTCAAAAAGTTCTTTGGGAGAAAAGAGCCCTAATCATATGAAAGCTGATTTTGTACAGATAGTTTCTAGTGTGCAGTGCACATATAAAACAAAAATACACAACTACTGACCATATTTATGAGCAAAACACTTATCCTAGTTATATTTTTGATGTGTTTGACATAAATCAATTTGTAGCCTAAACAGTCCTTATAAATAAACAGTTTTATTACAGTCTCTCTTTTTTATTCTTTACTTTTAAAGGTCAGATAAGATTTACAAGATATTTGGTTTGCACTATGCAGTTGAGGTCAGAACTATATTTACATCATTATTGGTATTAACTGCCCCCTTTGCAACAAAGGTTGTGAGATTTGAATACCTGGGACCTTTTGACCTCCGTAATGTGTCATTTTTCCCACTGATCTTATTTAAGTCTGTCTAATGACGTACAGGGGAGCTGTGAGGATAACTGCTCTACATCTCTATTCCACCAGGTGGTTGTCATTAAAAACCAAAGGCAAAACAAAGAAAGGCTAATCAAGTCTGTATCCTGATATATGTTCACAAAACAAGATGGAGACCTCACAAATGGAAATTGCATATAATGGATTCATTACAATTATTTGATTGAATGCTTTTTTTTTTCTTTTAGTTTGGAGTGAATTGATTAAGCAGCTTTTAACTTCATTGGATATAGTGCTTTAAATCTATTGTTAATATTTGTTAAATCAACGCAGACAAAAAATGACACCAAAAAACAAACACTACCAACTGTCAGGCACTGGCGGAAGCATCATGTATGTTTTTTTTTACTCTTAATGGTACTGGTTTTTAGTAAAATATGAAACCATAAACTTTTTGTGTAATCATTATTTCAGTTTAGTTGTTTGGTATCTGGCTTTTAAGCAAGTTTTAACGTTTCTTTGTAAGGTTGAGGTTGCAACTTTAGTTGGATGAGTCACAAAGCTGAAGCCTTGCCTGCATCTTCTTTCAAACCTCTCTGTTAATTTGATTTAGAAAAAGAACAAGTAGTGATAGTTATTTGTCTTCAGCATCTCTTCAACCCATAAGTATTCCTAACTGTTTTTACGGTGGTCTGTGGTGTTTCAGCAGGCTCCAGTTTGGTGTTTCCTATGTTTGGTATTGAACATTATAACACATTTCTTTTAATCTGTAATTGGCAGCTTGAGCTTGACATGGAAATTCTATAAGGCTACTGGTCTAAAGCCTCTGTAATGTTTGCGGGAAAACATGCATTTTAACCCTCTGTGCATCCAAGGAAATTTTCCATAAATTCATGCTTTTGCATCAGATTGTTGCACAAGTTTTAAAGTTAATTGGACGTTTATAGTTATGAGTTTATGTAAACCTCTGACTGTAACTTTATATGTTAATTAGATTTTTTTTGGTCTGCAGCCTTTTGTATTTTCTTTTTTCTGTGTGTTTTGGGATCAGCTGTTCTCCATGTTTTGACCAAGCATTAACGATATGTTGAGCTTCTCAGTCGCTTTGCATCATAACTGCTCCTCAACTATGAACTCACAGTTTGATACTGTATGATATTGCGTGAATTTGATACTTTTTTCACCTTATGTTGCAAAGAATAAACACATAATAAAAATTTAAAACAAGGGTTTGCTTTTGCTGTGATTAAATGACGATTTTATCAAACATTTGTTTTAAAAAAATTTTGTTTTTTCTTATGTTTGGACTATTTTGAAAATGAGATGAAACTGAAGATTCAAGGCTGTGAAAGCAGACAATATCTGCATTTAAAGCCATCTTTTTGCATATTATCAACACCTGACCCCATTCAGTGATGTGATGTAATCATACATAAGCAACACTTCATTTAAAGCTGAGGAACCAGACACTGTCTGTCGACATGGTTGCATAATGAATGTGATTCATAAAGTATATGAAAACAATTGCAAAAGAGTCAGTCTGCCTTAGGTTATTGACAGCAGGAAAGAAAAGCACTTTACAAAAGAGATGTCATGAAAACTAAAGAAAAACTTGGTAACTGCTTTGGATGCGCAGGGTTGTTTGTACAGCTAAAGAGTGAGCAATGGATATAATTTAAGTGTTTGAATTTTGTAAAAGCCCAAATCTTGTAAACGTTGTACTTTATTTGATACTATGAAACCAAATTAGTGTCTTATACACAAAAAGGGGGAAAGGGTTTTTGTAAAGTAAAAGACACAAAGTGAAAGGCAGTTCAAGGCAGTAGAACTTCCCTGTTAGAGATATTAGTTTCTGTGTTTTGCTTGCAGAGTGTAACGATTGAAAGAAGCAGAAATGTAAGAATATATTATATGAGGAGGATTTGAAGTGATGGTGTGTGATAAAAAATAGATCAATTATATCCTGTCATCTTGCAAATCTGAGGGAGGATTTAAGAGCTGCACCTGGAAACACTTATCACATACTTCTGCAAAATAGCCCAATCACAGATGTATGGAAGGCTTCAGAATGCCTGCATGGTACTGCCAGTCAGTGAGGTAACAGAGCATCCTATAGTTAAAATGTGGAGCACACTCCATCAGCAATAAAAAAAAAAAACTCAACAACTTTACTATTATTTTTTCTCATTTTTTGCTGTTATTAAAAAAATTAAGTGAATAAATTTAATCATTTGGTGATAAGAAAAAAAAACATGGGCTAAAAAGTATATTATAAATACTACTTTCTTTTTAAACTCCAAGTTTTCTGGAAGGGTTAAGATAATAATAATCTATAATATTCGATTAAATAAATAAAGCTGTGTTCACACTACTACCATGTGTAGTAGAGATTAGAAAATAAGCTTTTATGTAGGATTTAACATTATGAAACACAGAGGGACGTGATTTGGTTTTGAAAAGCTTCTGTTATCATTATTTTAGTCTTCTGTAATATTATTGGGTGCTTTTATGTAATCAACAGCACAAAAACAATCTAGAAATAAGTTAAAATTTCTTAAATTAAGTGTATTTACCCTCAATTTGAGCAGGTAAATGAGATAGTTTGCCAATGGAATGAGACTTTTTACTCTTAAATAAGATAATTAGATAATATGTGTTTTCTTATTTTAAGTGTAAATTATCTTGTTCCATTGGCAAAATGTCACTTTTACCTCCTCAATCCAAGAACAAATGCACTTATTTTAAGAAAAAAAGGACTTATTAGATTTCCATTTTTTCCAGTGTAGTGTTAGCCCCCATGCTGGATGACTGTAAGTTCAGTGATGTATACAGAGAGTGTCACAAAGTGGACATGTACATCTGGGCTCATCTAATGAGAAAATAGGTTCTGCTGTGTCAGCCACTGTTTGCTGAAGTTAGTGAATCCTCAGAGCCTCTGCATAACCGAAAAAAAAACATCTATCACCATTGTTCTTGGATCACTGCCACAAAATGCATTGAACTTTTGCAAAGCAAGAGCTTCTTCAGTGTTTTTAAGTCTATATTTATTTAAAACTTAGTGATACAAATGACTGCATTCACATATGGCACCTATTCCTTCGGTATGCACTGACTACCATACTAAAGACATTTCTGTGGGTTTTTCCCTCTCCGTCATGTTTGCAGTGACAGCCGTATCCTTTAAGGGCCCTGAGGGACGCAGCACCAGCCAGTCGATTGATCACCGTGTCCCAGATCTCTGTGTCCTCTCCACCCTCTGACCTCTGTACCATTTGCTGACAGCTCCTATTGCTGCCGTCACAACTGTGTGGGGCTTCCCACGTGACATGTCTGCCGCTAAGGTGGGGTGAAGTCTGCTCTATCTCGCTCCTAAGTCATCCACAGGGGTCGCCAGTGTCTTTCAAAGAGACCAGGAGACCAGAAGGAACCATCAACATAATGTGATGGGAAAAAGATGCCCTTAGGCCCGACCCCTCCCCTGCTGCTGATCGGAAACGATGCTTAGGCCCCTGGAGAGATGCATGATGCTTAACACATGACAGATTCCCAAAGGGATGGGAAGGTAGTTGTTTACTTGAGCTATTTGAAGAAATACACAGTTAAGCAGCATAATTTTTGCTTATAAGATAGATTTGTATTTTATATAAAGAGAGGATTTAGGATTTTTTTCTTACAAATTCTTGGAGCTTTCAACTGGCATCAAAAGTTAAGTAGCGTCATTTAGCAGGCTTTGAAACCCAACGCCGCAGGCCGCAACCAGCCTTGGGGAGTCCATTAAAGGGATGTAATGGGAGGAGTGGGTTTAGGAACTATCTGTGCTGGGGAGCGTGGAAAAATGGTGGATCAAATGGCCTTTTTTCTACAACCACTTTAACTAGCCACCTGTTAACATCTGCAGATATATTGCTGCCGTCCCTTGGATTAAAACTTCACTATTTTTCTAATTGTAGTCTAGCTTTGGCAAAGTGGATAAATACATTTGCAGAGAATCTATATGTTATAGAGTATGGATAACCAATAGATAACATTTTAGATGATCTGAATAAATCCTGCATTAAAGCACTGAGAACTCTGACTCCAACATATACATCCTGTTCTGGATCCTTTTGTGTTAGCCTGTTTTTTCCATTCAACTTGGCATATTTAGGATAATTGGATAACATTGCTGTGTCATCAATGCAGTTTATGTGCTAAGTATATTTCCAAAAATGTTAAAAGACAAACCACTGGGCGTTGAGTTTGAGGCTTTACACAGTAGCCTAATAAAGCCTTGTTTTTGCAAAATGAAACGGACAAACAGGTCAATCCCTTTGGAATGGGGGTTGTTTGGCTTCTTTTGATAGCCTGTATTGCCCAATACCTGTCTATGTCCCTGAAAGGGGGGTCGTTAAAGGGAATTGTTGGCTTGGCTAAATAGGCAGGGTCTTCTGTTTCCCTGTATAGCTCTTTTTTTAATGGTAGTTTAGATGGTTAAAATGTGAACACAAAGCGGTGTTTAAGCTGTTGAAGTAAAAGAAAAACACATTTTGGAAATTTGTCTTTCAGTTGCTTGCATTTGATTTTTCTTCTGGACTAATATTTGGATGAACAAAAAAACAGGCATCTGTATTTATATCACCTTACAAACCAAACAGTATAAAGGAAAACAGTAAAACTCAAAGAAGTTACTTATTTTTCTTTCCTCATAAGATAAATTAAGACTTAGTTTTGATTTAAGAGTGAGGATCTATCTTTCCCTGCAGTGCCTTGCTGTCATATGAACAGTTGCACTCCGGGCCTTGTAGAAATTGTGGGAAGGCACAAACCAGCTTGACTCTCAGACTTGAC